TGCATCTCCTCTGAAGAGTTTTTAATAACAATTCTTAAAGTGCTTGAGTAGTACGACTTGGAATTCAGAGGGAGATTTACATAGCTGTGACATGTTCTTCTAGTAAGGACTCCCAGACTTTCTGAATTAATGGACATTTAGAATTTGAGATTTTGGACACTGACAGGGCAAGAGAGAATTGAAAACTACCACCTACTATTACATCATCAAAAAAATAAGTCAATTAAATCCCACCTCTTGCCACTAAAAAAAAAAAAAAAAAAGAATAAACCAAAAAACCAAGTCAGGATTTAACACACTCAACATTAGCCACGCTCGGGTACTCAGGACAGAAACAGCCAATAAAGAACAAAATTTTTCTGATTGATGATCTTTGTCTAATTATTTGATGTGTCTAAAAAATTTTATGTGTTGGAGGGTACCCAAATTTGTGCTCCTTTAGTGCCTGGAGTACTTATAGGCATATCCATGAGTACTACCAATATTAGATCAACAAAAGAGCTATGATAACCAGAACAGAGAGCCACAGTTCAATCAAAACCTTTCTAAAATTGTGATTCCCACCGAATCTCTGAAGCATCACAGTGGTTTCTGAGCACAGCAGTATCACAGCACTAATGTCACACAGTTGGAGTACCACAGTAGTAACAGAGGTGTATCTCTAGGCATAGCATGGCAATAACATGAAAAAAAGTCTAATACAGAGACTTTAAGAAATACACTCTAATGGAGTTGGCTAATACTTCACTACTTATTCTCTTTTGATTCCTCATTCTATTTGTAGTTCAATTTTTAATTTTCCATTCTCACTCCGTCTAGCTTAATGACTACTCACTTCAACTGCAAAATATTGATTTTTAAAAACATTCATTATAAAATGAAATATAAACCCAATAAATAAGAGTATAATTTTCATAGCTATTTCAGTAAATTCTGCAGCCCAGACTAATAATTCCATTACCATTTTCATTTTTTAAGGTTGCTTTTCACTGAATATTAACTTACTATATTCAATTATTATATAACAAAAAATTAAATTTGAAAATTTAGAGCATTCTTTATATTTTCTACTCTGTATGATGATAGGTAGACACATCTGTATGTTCTACAATCTCATATTTTAGGCCAAAGAGCTATAATGTGGAGGTAGTCTGAAAATGCACATTGTGATAGTAAGAAGAAGATACAAATGAGTTTATATATGAAAGACATGCTACATATTTCACATCTGACAAGACATATAAAAGTTATGAAGTTTTCAGATAGATTAAGCAATTATTTGGTCTTCAAATAATTGAACAACAATAATTCAATAATTGAACAACCTCACAAATGTTTAATCAATATAGGATTGCATGGGATTCTTAAAGTAAGTAGAGAAGCAAACAAATGATCATTATGATTTGTATTGATGATATGATTAAACATAATATTAGGGAGTTTGAAGAGAGATTCAGGTAAAATGGATATATGGAGGATAATGTAAACATCTGTTAATTCCATTTAGAGTAATAAGTGAATGAATCTTTTTCTTTTATGGGAATATTATACTAGAACTTTGCAACTATACAAGTGGATATAGTTCCCGCCTTTGGTCAGGCAACCTCCCCTCGACTCTGATAGGTATCCCTTCAACTTTCTGCCGTCACATTCATCCTATTATCTTTCCTCATAAATAAGCAGGTTCCCCTCCTTTTTTCTCTGAGATTTTCAACTTCCTCTTCATCAATAGCTTCTCATCTGCCTTCAAATATGATCAGGAGTCTGTCATCTTAAATATTCTTTCTGGCTTCCTTACATCCTTTTTTAGTTCTACTATAATTGTCTCATTCCTTTCAAGTGGAAGCTCCTTTCTTGAATTTTCTAGGTTTCTATGTTTATCTGCTCCTTAATGTAAGTTCCAAAGGATTCCACTCCATCAGTTAAGTAAACTGCTTTTGCCAAGGCCACCAATGACCTCTCTGTTTCTAAATCCAAAGAGCCTTTAGTCATACTTACCTTGCTTGATTTTTTCACATCATGTGAACTGTTGACCACTCCTTCCTTAAAACATTTCCTTCTAGTTTTTTAGTGGTCACTGGAGTTGAGAGTCCTATCTATTCTACTCCAGCTGATTAGTCAAAGCCAATCATATAATTCCATAGACTTGCTAGGGATAGGAAGTCCTTAGCTGTTTTGGATCAGTGAGATATAAGAAGAGGTTTGTTGAGAGATTTAGGGTTAAAATGTTCCACTTGAGACAGCTATTGGGAATTTGGTTTTCTCCCTTGATGGATTTGAAAACGGAAGCTTGTATCTCCAATTGTCATTGGTAGCCAACTTAAAATAATGAGAGAAACGAATTTTAGGATAAAAACAACAGTATGGATATGAGTGGAGAGGGAAAAAAGCCCTAAGTATTTAGGTTATAAAACTGAAGACTAGATCTGAGGCTTATTCTAGATATTGATAATCAGCTAAGTATTTAACATTCAAGGCTATTTCCCTTGAATTTCCTATAACTTGGGTCAGAAAGGACCCTATTGATAAAATCTTTAGTTATTCCTTTCCTGTTCCTCCTAAGAACATCCCTTAAATGTTGGTGTTCCATGGAGTTCTGTGTTACCTATGTGTCTCACTCACAGCTAATTATGACATGTATCTGAAGATTACTAAGTTTGTATCTTCAGCTGAGATTTCCCTTCTGAACTTTAGATAAATATATCCAAATAAGCAGTAAACATTATCTCTCAGATACTCTACATATACCTCAAATCAACACATTAAAACTTAAGTTAACCTCCCCTCCTCCACTTCTACCTATCACTCTTTTTGTACTTCCAATCTCAGTGCATGGCACAATATCAATCCCTTGTCCAAATTAGAAACCTGCGTATCAATCATGGAACTTATATCTATCTCCTATATCCATGTCCAGTCAATCACATCATGTTGGCTCACCTTTGAAGAAGATATGGAATCTATGCATTTCTTGCCACCACCCATTGCTTCCATTTACTCTCCCCTGTATTACTAAAGAACTTTCCTAACTGGTTCCATCGCCTTCAGTCTTTCTCCTCTACAATTCATTCTCTGTAAAGCTATCAAAGTGTTATTTAAATGAAAATTTAATCTTGGCTTTGCCCTGTTTAAAACACTTCACTGTTTTTCTTCTTATTTCCTTCAGAATAAAATGCAGCATGATCAAACTTCTATTTACCCTCCAGCCTTATTTCATATCACTCCTCTCAACTTCCTTTAGTTTCTTTACAGAACAGGTGCCCTTTCCAGATTCTTTCACAGCCCTAGATCCCAACTTCATAGCACTAATCACACTACATTATGTTTATCTTCTATGCTTAATATTGCCCAATAGGCAGATTAATAACATGTAATACATGCAAATCAGGTCATTAACAAATATTTTAGGTAAAATAATGTGATAGGTAATATATATGTATATTTTAAAAAACATTGAAGGAGTCATCAAGAGGAAAATCATCACCGAGGTTACAAAGAAAGTATGTGATTATATATGCAAGTTATGAAACATAATTATAAAATAAATACTCATGTACTTAAGAACTAAGTGTAAGAGCCACAATTCAATTTAAGAAATAAAACAGCAGCAAGAATAATACAAATTTCCTCCCTAATCCTACCTCCAACCTTCCCTTCAGCGATAACCATAATCATAAATTTTGTTAACCATTCCCTTATAAAAATAGTTTTCTGACTCATGTACTTATGCCTAAACAATATATTTTTAGTTTTGCTTGTTTTTGAGATTTATAAATATGATAGTTTTGATGTGTTCCATCTTCTGAAACTTGTTTTTTGCTCAAATTATGTTTCTAAAGTTTATACACATTATCATAATTATGATTAACTGATTTTCATTGCTTTAAAGTACTTTTCTGTGTGAATAGCAGAGTTTATTTACATACTTTCCTGGTGGTAGGCATTTGGGTTTTTCCAGTTTTCTACTATTATAAATATTACAAGTGTCTTGAATAATATCTCCGGAGGGCAATTTTTGGATAGTAGGGTATATTCATGTTCAGTTTTATAAGATAATTTGATACCAAAGTGATTGTACTTTTTATTCCTGTGAGAACTATAAAAAGGTTTCCATTGCTCTTATAGTTGCAAATAACCTACATTTTTCAGACTTCTTAATTTTTGTACTAGTAGCTATAAAATAGCTTCTTTTTTTTTTGTATTTCTGATTGACAAAAGTATTTAGTTTTTAAAAATGTTTATTTACTCTCCTAGTTCCCCTTGTATTTTACCATTCTTTTGTGGTGTTGTATGTCTTTTGTTTTTGACTATATGAGTTTTAAAAAATATATTCTGGGATACCAATCCCTTGTCCTTATATATGCTACAATTATCTTCCCAAGGTTGTGGCTTCTTTTCTTCCCTTCATGGTGATTTAATATGTGATATTATAATTACCTACCTATCACTTAGGCTACCTCACTAGACTAAAAGGTCTTCAAGGTAAGACACCATCTTACTCATTTTTGTTTCCCAGTATCTAGCAAGTGCTCAACACATAGCTGAACACATAGAGTTGCTCAGTATTTATTGAATGAATGATTAGATGAGTGAACTGCTATGACTTTTAAAAATGATAAATCGAACTTTTTTTAGTCAAATTGCATTTTACACAAGTTGACTGCACCAGACTGCTAAACGAAAGAGGATCAGAAGTATGCATTACCCACAACCCTGTGCTTACACTTCAAAGGTGGGGCACCAGAAAGAGGTGACAGTATCTGCAGAAAGGTGGCAGGATGTTGCTTACAAAAATTTGTTACCACTTCTTAGCATTTGGTAATGTTCATTTCTCATCCTTTTCAATGTACTTACAGTTAACTGAACTCCCTATAGTGGGATAATATTTAGCCTAAATTTATTACAAAATTAGAAATGATGTTAAGACACAAGATAAGGATTACATATTACAATGGATGTGCAAGGTTCATGGTTTGTGTCATTAATTTGAAATTGGTTACCTTTTTAGTAATGGTGTCTGGAGGTACATCCCGCCTCCCAAGAGGATAAGGATTCCATTGGCCACTAGGAGATACATCTTCTTGTCCATTGTCTAAAATGTTGCTTTGCTGGGACGGGGTCTATTGCGAAAATGGTATGGCATTTCTTTAGTGATGAAACAGACGTTTATCATAGTTTTCTGAAAAGAGTCCCTAGTGACTATGATAAAATTAATTTTGTTTAATTGCAGAAACACAATATATCCTGAACTGGAAGAATTATTATACACTATTTACTCAGTAAGTATTCTAAATTGACAGCTTTTTGGAAGCCGTGAGAAATTCAATTAAAATAACCACCTTAGAGTTATTTACTGAATTTTAGAGAAAAGTTTAGGTTATTTACAGTACCTGAATAAAAAAAAATCAGAATAAAATTAACCAATTATTAAAAAACACAACATATGAAACTTGCTTAATTCAATTCTTTAGTATGATCTTACCATTTAGAATATAAACAGAAACAATATAATACATAGGATGTAGCTTTCAATATTTCAAACCATAACCTAAAACAATTTTATAAGGCTGTACTGATTCTCCTAGAACATGCCTTGCACTATCCAACATATTGTTAATACTAACACAGTGTAAGATTTATGGTACTATGACATTATCTACAGATTGCTTTTAGGGAAATATGAAAGGAACATAAAAAATATTGTGCTATTAGAATCACAGTATAAATAAATGACTGTTTTGATTTTAAATTTATTTATATAGATCATTTATGATTTAAAGTTTAAACTCTTCATATAGTTTTAGCTGATTTACTGCTTATTATTTTTAACAAATAATAATACCTCTGTCATTATTATTATTAATATTAGATACCAGGGAGGGCTCCATTGTCTGATCTGAGTAGTAGCAAGTAATTATACACCATCAGAAAGACAGCTTCCAGTGGAGGATATAGTACTGGTATATTTTTCCTGTGGAAACAGATCAACTTTCCTGAAAGACTTCCTCCCCTAACATATAGGATATCCAGGTACTCCTTGATTTCCTGGGAAATTTTATATAGGTGGGAAATTCTGCCCAGTTTTTCCTATGCCATTTTCTGTACATGTTTTGAAGTATCCCTATAGATAAATAAAGCCTAGTTAGAGGCTGTATGTACAGCTCTACTCTGTGTGAGGAATTGTCCAGCCCCAAGATGGAAGAACTGGGCCATTCTCTTCACAACATGGCACAGATGGGCTGCTTGGCAGCCCTCATCTGTTACACAGAGTGGTCCTAGTTGTTTTTTAAAAAACAATTATATAACCGTGCAATCTGCATTCTGACTGCATGCATTTTTTTTTAAAGAGATTTCTTAGAACTGTTTTAAAATAAGATTATGACACTAGATGAATTTTTCCTAAGGTTTAATGGATATAATGAAAAGTAAGGAGATAATTCAATTTTCTTCTTGTGGTTTGGCCATAAGAATTCCTTTTTCATGAGTCTATCAGAAAGTGTGAAAAAAGAGAAAACAGGTACTGAATTGAAGCATCTGGGTTAGAGGAATGAATTCACTTGCGTTTGTTTGAGAAATTACATGTAGGTAACACATTAAAACTACATACTACTTGAAATAAAACCAGATAACTATTTAATGTCTGTCTGTTGTTAAGCATTAATTTTCTGGTCTTTTCGTTTTTCAGATTAAAACATTTGCATATGCCCACACACAATTTTTCTACATATTAAAATAAGACAAGTCAAATTATTAAAGTTAAGCACTTAAAATATAAATTTTCAGCGTAAGCACTACTCACCGGTGTTTTTTGTTTGTTTGGTTTGGTTTAAATTAATGATTTAAAATAATATCCATATCTTTCTGGCTTGATTTCTTTGCCAGGGAAGTAGGATAATGAATGTATTCATCTGGTTAGGTGTGTGTGCAAAATCTATTTTTGAGAAGAGGACAGAATGTAACACAAGTATTTTTTTTTTCCCTCCATATCATCCTCCTTGCTTTCCTATTTCCTCCACTAGCCTTGCTTCAGTTGCCTAGACAGGAGTCCTTAGTTGCTCACAAAGAGCAACTAAGAATTGCAGAATTCTTTCTGGTGTTTAAAAAAAAAAAATCCTTTAGTCAAAATCCTAATATCATGATGGTGTAGGCTCTCAGTTTAAGAATCAATCTTTCTCTTTTTAAAATTAGAATTAACAACCACACCGCTTCTACAGTACAGGGGTCAGAGGAAACATAAACATGCAGACACATGAAAAAAATACTTTCACTAGACACCAAAATTAAAAGAATTTCCTGAACGCAATTTCCTTTCTTCTTTTCAAGAATGCTCTGGACTTTTTGTTTTTCGTAAGTGAGACTCCCTGGGGCTTAAGTTTGGAGAAAGAGAAAGACCACGAAAACCATTTATTAACATTGGGTGGGGAGGTGGTCCAAAAGAAAACTATATAGTGGGTTCACATTCTGTCTCGAAAGATGTATAGCTATTTACAAAAAAATTATACTTTTAATAAAGTGTTACTGACTTGTATATAAATGCAGTTGCTTTGTTGTTAAAATTCTATAAAGGATTAAAAGGAACAACTGAAAAATATTAAAAAAGTAATGAAGCTATCACTGTTGAAATTTGTTATTGCAGAGATAATAAAATTGAGGTTCAGTTATTTACTCAAATATTTCTAGCACCACATGCTAGATATTTTCTTTAGATACTTTAAAATAGTAAGAATGTCTTCTTTTCCTTGGCATATATAACTAATTAAATATAAAAGACATGGAAAATCACCATAATGCATCTTTTTCTCAGCTTCTAAATTCTGTAGGTCTTCAGATTTTTTTTAAGAGAATAGAGAAAATGGTCATTATAATTTAATGAACACCCACAAATTATGTTTGTTAAGAAATACACTAATGTTAAGGAGAAGTTTTGCTGAAGGGATACAGTCCCAGAAATGACTGTGGACGTTTATAGATTTAACATTTATGTTTTTGACTACCATGAAGGATCACAAGTGTCTACTGGAAGAAGTAATTTCTAATTTTGCTGAGGCATAAATGTGCACGAAAATCTGTGATATATATGTGCATGTGTGTGAGTGTGTGCTTATGATGTGAGTATGTGTGTATATACAGGATTCACAAATATGAATAAATGAGCTTAGCAGATCTAGTAGTTTTGCTTTGGTTAGCTAATTAATGGGTGCACTGAATGCTTGACAAATTATACTTACTGCATTTAGCTGGTGAAATTATATGAGGGTGGTATTAACATTTGGCACTTTGCAAAGCTCTTGGGATATATGCCTTAAGAACGCAAAGATCTATTTTGCTTATAATTGGCATATAGTTCATAAAAAGCATTACCATAGATTTAAAAATGTTTTAAAAATAATCTTCCCAAAAGTATTTCTCATGAAAATTATTGTTAGATTATTCATTTTCAGCACATATTTTTAAAAAAATAGGTATTAAAAATATATGCCAAGTTTCAATATAAATGATTGTAATGTCAAGGGGTTTATTCTGAAGGTCACAATATAATGTTCAGATGATTTTTTAAACCAGCATTTCATTGTCATCATGAAAAAGCGTCTGAATGAATACTAACATTATTATTTTGGTAATTTTAGCCATTATCCATAAGGATTCATGTGAATTTATAGGCCGGAGGGTTTTTTTTTCATAATTAGAAGGATAAGTGAATTTTTCTTGAGTGATAGGTAGCCAGTAATAAGTGCAGCAGAATCAATAGAAGCTATAGGCCTAAGTTGCCCCAAGGTGCTGCATTAATCTTGCTTTGCTTTCAGCGGAAAAAAAAAAAAAAAATGGAATTAAGTAAGTAACCCTTGAGATTAGGGTGAATAAATGCATATCAAATATTGGTACTATTTGATCCTAAGTCATCTACATAGATGCGGTAAGATAGGACATTAGAAATTTAAAAATAATTTCGGTGCACACATTTCTGTCCAAATTTTTCTAATCCAAAAGATAGTGGGATGAGTATCAACTAATAAAACAGATAGCAAGGCCATCTTCTTCCAGGCAAAATTCTATGAAAAGATTATTTAATACATATATTTCCATAATTTCCTGAAGTTGTAATTTACATTAGTGTCTATTTCAATAAGCCAATAAGCAGTAGGTGCTATGGTATAATATTATGGTGGTAGAAGTTAAAAAGAAAGGAACAAGAAAAAAAGTGTCACTTTCTCCAGCGTGTAAGAGATCACACTATACTGTCAGGCACACACCTGCAGAGGGGATCTAGCAGAGGCCAGTGATTTCTTCCCCAGCCCCAATTGTTTCTGGGGCTGCAGCAGCAGGAGTGATTAACTTGGGTTCACAATCTTTGACCTTTCACTGCCTTCAAGCGTATTTTTGATAATACCAAGTGCCCAGGAAATGCAAGTGAATCTTAAAAAGCGTGAGGTAACTGTGAGCATTTATTAGGTTCTGCTAACTGAGAGAGTCCTGTATCTGTAGCACATGGGGAATGATTTGGGTCATGATAGGTTTTAGATCAGTTAATATACTCTACTGTGTAGTCTTTTCTCCATCCCATAAGATCTGTTTTTCTGGATTATTATGAAGATGATGTAAGATAATAATGTACATGAAAGAGCTCTATCAAAAATGATGAGTTATGTTCTCTGAAAATGTCAGGTTTTATAAATAGGCGAGAAGGCTTCATTGTATGGTAAAAACAGCAGGAAACCTGGTGCCAAGCAGAGTCAGATTCAGATTCTACCTACTACTACTTTTAGGTGCAAGGGTAACAATAGGAAATTGGTAGAAGTGGGTAAATTCCTTTGTGTGACACATGAGCCTCAGTTTCCTGGTCTGTACAATGGAAATAAATACTTCCTTTGAGGGTCTGTGAGGCTTGTGTGAAAAAACATATTTAAGGTACCTAATGGTACCAGGTACAGTGTAGATTCTTAATAAATCCTTGTCTTAATTCTCCTGGTGATATATTTATTCTACCATTAATCTGGATTATAAAAATGGCAATTTGAATTGACATTTTACAATATTATATTTCTCTCTAATAACATAAAATTTCAAGGCAATAACTAAGCTCAATTACAACAGAACACATCCGAAGAAGCACATGGAACCATTAATAATGTCATAGAAAGTTGCCATAAATGCTTTTTGGAGAGGCAGGAAATAAATGATAAATGAATGAGTGAATGAATAAATAAATGGATAGATAGAAAATAGTAATAATTTTATAATTTAATAATGATTTATACATGTTAAGTGCCTGGTTATAAGTACTATTAATTTTTTTAGGAAATTAGAATAAACATCAGTAAATAAAAAAATTAAAGGAAATTAAACATTAAAATAATTTTGTTGTATATCTTGACATTTTGTTAATATGTTGCCTAAAATTACCATAGAACATGTAATTTACTGTTTATAGTATAGGGAGCCTATGTGGAGGTTGTAATTCATGAAAAATGTACAAAACTTGACCTGGCATGTAATAAATATGAACAAATTAGAAATATTCAAAAACACAGAAAAATCTGGGAGAGTCTTCTCTCTTCATCTACATCAATATTCACTTTGTAAATAGAAGAACAGATTCTTCAGTCTTCATTTACAAACAACTACCTTCTTTAATTAGTTTATTATAAATTTGTTTAAAACATTTGAAAAAAATAACTAGATACGTTTGGTAACCAAACAGAAACTCAAACCAGAAAACAAGTAACACCCTGAGTTAGGACCTCAGCTAGTACAAATAGTGCCTTTCCGTCAGTTACCAATATGGAGGTTGGGAAAGGTTAGAATCACAGAAAGCTTCCCTTTCTGGGTACACAAGCTGCAAAAATAGCATCTCTGTGTGACAGAGAAAATACGAAAAACCACCTCTCTTAATTGCAAGAGGTATGGTTTACCAAGCAGTGTATGGGGAAAGGATGTGGAGTTCAGCCCCTGAACGTTCCCTGAGGAGTCTTTGTAACTCCGTTTCCAGCACTTAACTGGTAATACGTGAAAATGTTAATTTAGGTTCCTCAGGACATCCAGAGGTATTTGCCATAGCACCTACCTAAAGATGGCTAGTATTGTCATTCAGAAATTTTATAAATAAAAAGAGCTCCCATATTTCCATGGGAGAATGAACAGTTTTATCAGTTTTATCTACAGAAAATACTTCTTTATAAATTGATCTTACTTTACATTTTCAGTGCAATTCTCATGGCTAACAAGCATTTAGAGACGGCAAAGAAATCTTAAATTGCTGGTACAAATTTTTATTATCTTAAGTAGCAAGACAAAAATGTTGTAATAGGTTTTTATGCATTTGTAAGTCAAAGGAAAATAACTTTTGTCTCTCTCCTCTCCCAGTGAGGACTCAGGGAAATTGAACCTCGACCATAAGACCTGTTAGCGATGGTCAGTGGAGCCAAGAAAGGAAAATTTACGAGAGGGTGACTCTAAAGCTTGGCAGAAAAAACAAAGACATTTTCAAATTAAAGCAGCTCTGCAGAAGAGCTGTGCCTGAGCACAAAGATGAGGGGGCGGAGAATTAGAGTGGAATCCATGGGAATAAGTAGAGTCTGGAGTATTCCTGAAACATCAAGCACCCAGTGCCCATACCTGACAAGGCTCCTACACTGGCAGCAGGATAGGAAAGTCACCCCAGATGCCTAAAGTTGAAAGCTTATATGCTTTAAACTGGTAATTTGGGGTCATGTAATCTTTTAGGAGTGATGGAGCCAACTGTCCTGTCTATATTCCTTTTCCCTCCCTTGCTTTCTCTTCTCTCTCTCTCCACACTCCCTGCCTCGTGTGGATAACATATTGATGATAATTCATTTTAAGATGGAGTCTTTCAATACTCAAACTATTTTTGGCTTGCAATTTAATGTACCTTCCAAAGAGAATTCCTTTAGGTCATCTAACTGAGGAAGGTTGAAAAGTCTCTAAATATTAGAACTCTGTAATATTTCTGATATAGATTCTCTTAGAGCTATAGTAACAGTTAATGAATCTGTTCCCTTGGGTACCCCAAACAAGATCAGAAAGTTAATATAGCAACATAGAGGCACCAAATTGATATTTGGGGAACAATTTAAACATTGAGAAACAGCCTTTCAAGTATATTACCATTTTTCAGACACAGAATATATCCATATTGTTCTATAGATGGCTGAGTTTAATAGGGCTAAACATTAGCAAAATAAGGGGCTTCCCATACAATTTCAAGGGGTGCAAACAACAACTCCTTCCTATCAAGATCTTGCTAATCTGCTCACTAAATTTTGAAATTCCATCCTATTAGTTTAAGGGCTTGATTCCTATCAGTTGCCAAGCCCATCAGGAGAGGGGCCTAGTTAAATGTTGTCTTATCTATTCCTCAGTGCAAATCCAACATTCAAAAGTTCTTAACTTAATTAGTTTTTTTCCCCCAAAAACAACTGTGGGTGATGAAAAAGCTGTGAATATAGATGTCTCTTTGGTTTTATTCCTCTATGACACTATGAAGAAAACTATACAGAGTTAGGGATTGTTATTAAGACTAATTTAACAATAAAACATGGATTTGAGGTCTTTGGCCTTCATTTTGCTGGGATGGGAATTTGTTCCTCATGTTCATTAATTTTATTATGAGAGAAGTATTTGGAGGCTACTGTCACTCTGTTATCCCTACTTTGCATTGTTTTTCTTCATAAAACTTACTAGGCTAATGACTATATTAATAATATAGTCATAATGACATATTGCATGAAAATGACTCATTAGCCTCTAACAGAATATAACTAAGACAGAGGCGTTAGTCAATCTAAACAGGTAAAATGTGCATTCTCACTTTTGCCTGAATTAAACAGCAGAAATATTCCTTCGACAATGGAAATGTTTCGTCTTCCACTATATTTCATTTCAAATGAACCTACAATTATATTGAAAACCCTGTTAACGTGTTCCTTTTCCATTAGTCTAGGATGAGTATCAATTTGCTAGCTAAGCCACGAGGTTGTTTCTCAGGTTTTATTTCCGTGTGATATTTTCCACAAAGACAATGGGCTGAAGAAGCATTTAGGAGTGCCAACCACTTCATTTCCATTGTAATTTAGGTCTCTATGTCTTTTCCAAAGGGATCAGCTGAAATCCAACAATAATTTCTAGCTCTGTTCTCAGAATGCATCAGCAAGGGAAGAGAGGGCTATCTCCAAAAACATTTTAAAAAATATACGTTTATATATCTACACACACACAAAAGAAAGGAAAACAAAGAATAAAAGAAAAAGAAATGAGTAATAAGAAAATGAGCCTTAAAGCAACTCAAAAAGCCATGTACCTGCTCAATCCAAAAAGCAAGCTGTTCAGCAGGAACCTGAGAATCATTCTAGCTCTCAATATTCGTTTAGCAGCTAAGAGTTTGGGCTCTACATTATTTGCCCTTGTGCTTTTTGGACTCGGGAGAGTCTATAAGCAGGGTCGTATGTACAGCCTAAACACATTAAGTGAACAAACAACATTAATTGGCTTTGGTATGCTGACACATGTAAGGCAGTCCATACTTACTTTCTGAAGAGGTAGTTCTTGTAGATCAAATTTAGACTTAGTCTGCAAGTTTAAAGTCATGCTTCTGCCTGCATGCATTGCTGAAATACCTCCATAGGGCAGCATGCCAAGGTTAACTGTGTTGTGTTTGTAAGCAGCATTCTGAGTAGAGGAAATAATCATGTGACAGGGTGTGAACACATGCTCAACAAACTGATTATTACATGAACATGTTTAAATTTATAACATTTAACTTTAAGCGGGCAAACATTAACTTTCTTTTAAACATGCACTTGATCAGACAGAAGCATACAGTAAACAGGGTTAGTTATGCACATAATGAGTACCATCCAAAACTACAGAAAAGACAAAAAGCAAGGATACATTCTGTTTTACATTTGCTGCTAACTCAAGGGCATAGAACCTATCTCTCATATATCATGATCGTAGTGACTTTGGACAAATGTTCGCCTGTGGTAGTCTATTAGTTAAAAAAAAAAAAAATTCAAACAGTGAGATTTTAATCAAATTTTGCCAGCTCCAGATCTCATGGTCTCTTTCACATTGTGAGATAAACACATACAAAAGACAGATACCAGCTTCTAATTCTGCCCTAAAACGAAGGCACTACAATGTTAAAGCCAAAATAAGTGTCCATTATTGCTCAGTCTATAGACATAAATACAGCAACTCAGAAAAAGAGCTGGTCAAAAAAAGTCATTCAACCTGACTATTGGCTCACTGAATTTACTGATTAATTTAATTAAACCAGTCAAAAAAATTGTTTGTGGATCCAAAGTTTCTGACTTTTTTTGTTTGTTTCTTAAAAATTACATTTTAAACTGGAGAAATTTCACAGTGATACTAAAGGAAGTATGATTTGAGCTATTAAGGTTATTTATCTAATATACCTAAGTACCTATAGAGCACTCTGGTGATATCTGCATTGTGGCTATCTTTCAGCAGGTGCATCTCAGGTTACTCCAGGGATTTGAGAGCTAGTTAATTTTTCTTCTACAGAACTTCATTTAAATTAAAACATTTTGTATGTCCCGTCATCAAATAGTTTCCATTAGTACAATCTCCACTTTCCACCTTCCGTAAAAAAAGTAGGAATTGACAGTATTTGGTCCCTTTAAGTAATTCTCTTATTTTGGGAAAAAAAAATTTACACAAATTAACTTAATAAACTTTTTAAAACTGAGTGTTACTGAACAATAACAGTAGGCAGCTATTCTATTCTAAAGGCATTGTTTGCAAAGTAATGATTTTTAGCATCAGTTTCCCTAAACTCAACTGAATGACAGTTATACTCCTGACAGTGTGCTGTTTTACCAATCATACTTGTTATGGATCCTTGATTATTTCATCCAGTGATCTTTCATTGTCACCATGCCAAAGTTGAAAAGGACACCGGACATTTCAATCTAGCACTTGAATGATTCCTTAAGGTTTAAGATTATTCCAGTGTAGTGCCCTCTTAGCTCCTGTAGAAGGGTAGCAGTCTCGGACATACGCATTCGTGTTTTAAATTCTCTCACAGTGGGGCTCTGTTGTGGAAGCATGAGCCTTGAGGTTAAACTACAGGAGAAAACAGCATCTTTTATCTATGGCAGTACTGGGAGCTGCCTCTCCAAGGTCAACAGCAGGCAAGATCTTTAACCAACATTATCTTGGGCTGTTAAGCTTATCCAATGTCCAGGCCTCTGGGCATTTCTCTCTTATGAAGAACCGACAAAGGGCTTGTAGTTTCTAGTGTAACTATTTGATTTCCAGGTTTAAATCCTCAACTAAATTTCACTGGGAAGGAAACAGACCGTATCTCCGGTGCAGTGTGACTTTGAACACTATGTTAAGAAGCACAGCTATGTTAAAACTAGGCTTACATAAAAAGTCTTTGCTTCCGTACCCTGAATTAATCTTTTTGAGTAGCTGGGAAGTTCTAAGTAATCTACAGCCTGAATAGCTCAGTCATGCACTTGAGAGGGGGAAAGAAATGTTACTTGGAGAAAATAAGAGGACAAACTTTCAGGATCTACTGCCTTGAAGCAATACTGTCCAGTAACTTAATTTCTTGAAATTAAATAAGAAGCTATGGACTATACATTGAAACTGCTCTGGGAAATGAAAGACAGACTAAGGGAACTATAAACGAAGAGGGGAAGCATGGAAACTAACTGAAAAGGAAGGTGTTGTCACAGTAATAGAAAACACACATGAGTTTACTTTTAGTTTTCTGGATCTGGGCCGGGCAGGGCTTGCAGACTTCTGCCAATCTAAATCCCCCTCCCCTGGTCCTATTTTCCTCTCTCCAAATTCCTGCTCTAGCTAGAGGAGTAGCTCCGATCAAAGGAGAGGAACCATTATCTGAGAAACCAGTAAATACATGATGGTACCAAATGCTTAGCATTTTGTCTTCTTTTTCATGCTTTGTTTTCACTCACTCCTCTCTTGCCTCAAATTACTAGTCATGTACATATGCTCTGAAAAGCTTCTCATAACCTTTCTTGACTAGTTCATCTTACCCTGTTACGTATGGTCGTGTCTACACGAGGCCAGAGTTCCCAAACTGTACTGTATTATTTGGCCCCAAATATTTCCGCCCTCCAAGTTATCTGTCTACATGGAGGGTATAAGTTGAGGTAAGGCATGGTGACAACTGACCAGGTGTCTCCCACTGACAGCCAGTCATGAGGCTTTGATGAGGCTCCCTTCAATGGGACTGAGCACACCTATTTGAAACAGACATTCTGATGAAATAGTTTGCAAGGCAGAACCAATCTCCACATTGAAAAACTAACACCCACACCCACATTTGTTAGTTCACTTGTTCCTAAAGATAATTGTTTTCTTGTCATGTAGACACGACCTACAAACAATGTAATTATTTAAAAAGACTATACCTGAAAACACAAAATTCAATATTAAGGAAATATATAATAAACGCTGTGGCCTGTGCTTTTAGCAGGACACCAAATAAAATAATAAAACTATTGAGCAAAACTTTCTAAAGGTATATTATTACCCAGATCCCTATTTCACACTAAGTATTTAAGCCCTAGAAAATGAGAGCAAAAGGCCCTATTGACAAAAAGGACCTTAAGGTTCCAAGGTCAATGCAGAGTACACAAGGCCCTCTACACCAAAGCCACAAAGTACATTCAACGATAAGGGTCAATTGATCATAGTTCTAGAAAATGAAGTATCAGTCTCTTAAGGAGATATAAATAGGCAACAAAAAGTAATTCTAGGCTTTGAAACAAAATATATTTATATATATTTTTAGCCTCCTCAATCACTATGCTTCCATGCTGTATTGTGACTCAGTCTGTAACTGAATTGGGATTAATTTTCTTTTTTTTTTTTTGGTTGCAATATACACACTAATTTGTGCCTTTGTAGTCTTCATAAAGACATCATCTATTTTTGTTGCCTATAGCATGATTTGAATTTAAACATTTCTTTTTGTATAAAAATCAACATTCTAAGTGGCAGGATTTTTTTTATTAAGTCAAATAATGTGTAGGAGGGCATTCAATCTCTGCTTATTTTATTTTTCTGTTTCTTGCTGGGAAGATTATTGCTCATTAGAAGTAATAACTTTAGTAGTCCCATAGCAGTAACTGTATGCAAATTTTATAAACAAATTAGGCCTGACTTTATTATAAGTGAGTCTGTGCAGAAAGGGGCAAAATACTCACTTTTTATAGATTCAATAAAAATCATACTCTTTAGGTCGCTAGAGAACAGTTCTGTGTCCTAGGAGAGGCATTCCACCTTAATGGCTAGAAAGCAATTGAAGCACCATCCCACATAATCGAGTCAAATTCTTTCTTACTAACAATATTTAGGCTAGATTTGATAAATCATTCACCTACAGGTTATGGACTCTCGAAGAGCATTAAACAATATCCATGAGAAACTATTACGATCAATTTCCCCACAATAAGAGAGAAATAAAATGCTGATCATCTATTCATTCATGTAGTTCATGCTTCACTACATGTGCTTAGAAATGCCAATAAAGGAAAACTAAAGGCAGGAGGGATATTCTTACAGAGAAATGCCAGACATACCCTGTCTAACCTTCTAGCTTCTATATGTCTAAGCAGCTGTTGTCTCCAGTCTGCAGGCATTTTACCACAGCTCTCCTCTCCCTTCACAGGAGTGGGCCTCGTCTTTATATCACTGTTATCTGATGGCTTGTCACCATAGTTACCCAAGTTATAGTCAGATGGTATTTTTTCCAAAAGAGCTGCCATAGTAGGCCTAGCTGAAACTGGCCTGGTTTGGGAGGCACCGTAACTCTCTGTACTGTAGCTTCTTGCAGACAATGGCCTCCTCTGGGTAAGGTTTTTAACTGGAAAACTTCCCGCCTGAGCTTTCACTTCTTGATATGAAGGGTGTTCATCTTCATACCTGCCATTCCTTTTCAGGAACTGGGACTCAGTCACTGAAACGCTGCTTTGGCGATCCAGACCGCCCCTATATGGAGGTCTGCCGTACCTATCGCTCGGAGGCAGCTCATGAGGTTCACTGACCCTTCTAAACATGGCCATTTCTGTGGCGCTCGCCAGGGAGTCGGCTCTTCTCAGGAAGCCTGCCCTGGCACCTTGGCTTGCAAACTGGGCATTCACCACAGCATCCTCATTCACAGATGGCTGAGAAAATGAAAACATTTGCTCCATGGGTGGGTATCCTCTGTAAGCTCTAGGACTAACCAAATCCTTGGCGATGTTTTTGCCAGGCTGTTGCACGTACTCGGAATTGTGTTGAAAGGGGGGCGGTATCCTCTTCTCGGCTTTAACTTCCACTGCTCCTTGGGGATTGAAGCTTTGGTCAAACTGATAGACTTTTTTGGTCATGGAAGCTTTTTGTTGCTGTGGCCCTTTACTACTTCCATAAGTGAGCATCTCGTCATCCAGCATCGGCACTGACTGGCTTCGAGACATACTGGACATACCATGCTCCGGTCCCAACATTTTATCTGGCCGTTCATGACTTCCTAAGTGATCACTCCCAGTAGCATAGTTTTCTAATGGTATATTATACACCTTGTATGTACCAATGTCAATCTCATCGATACTCTGTGACTTTTTGAACTTATTGGACTTGATATCTTTCATGAGTGGGGAAAGCCTCTCTGTGCTTTTACTAATGGAAATAACACCTTTAGATGATTCTGGGCGGCAGTGGATCTGAGAAAAGACATTGCTAAGACTCCTGTTGGGATTGGAATCGTGATACTCCCATGGTACTCCTGGAGAAAAAGGACTAGGTATTTCAGTAGATTCTTTTATATGCTCTTTCCTTTCAGGCAATGGGCTGGTGGTGGGGGTTGTCTCTAATTTGGAAGGGAAAGCGGTCCTGTCTTCAAAAGGACTAGGGGTTCTGGTCCAATTCTGCCAAGGATTGGAAGGAGGCACTTCTGTATCTGGCGTGTGTCTGTGTGTAGACTGCTCAAGTTCCAGGGGAACACCAACAATCCTATCCTGCCTAATCAAAGGCCTGCGTCCGTGAGAAGATGTGCTTCTAGATTTCGAACTTAAGAGAGGATTGTTGTTGGCATTCTCGCCTGTGGTCTCCTCTGCAACAAACCCTGTGTTATCATAATGTGAACTGTCAGTCCAGTTGTCAGTGAAGGCGTCGCCCATTGGCAGCCGGTCAGGACGCTGTGGTAGATTCCCTGGGGGAACAGCCTCCCGCTGGGTGAGCAATGGCTTTGAATCAAGAGGCTGTGGGAAAGATTGTGCAATCCTGTGAAGACAGTGGGAAGAAGAAATATGAAAACGAGGAAGAGCTGAGTCTTTGCCAGAAAGAGAACAAGCAGCCCAGAGTGCCACAATCCTCTAACGGATGTTTAACGGGTCATTCATCCATACCTCATTTACAATTAAGGTGGCACTGTTATTTCATGTCCTGCCCCCCCCAAATCCACCCCTTTACCTTGCTCTTTTATTTTCCCCTTGTAATCATTACCTTATAACATAGTATATCATTTACTTACCTATTTTATTTATTGTGTATTGTTGTGTGTCCTCTGCCCTCCTGAGGGCAGAGATTTTTTTTTTTTTCTCTTCAGGCCTAGCATAGTGCCTGGCACATAGTAGCCATTAAAATACATATTTGTGGGATGATTAAATGAATGAAAGAAATAGATAGGTCTTCAGTAATGGTCCTAACACTTGTTTGATAATTAGAATCACCTGATTCTTGGTCCTCATTCCTGCAATTTCTGATTCAGTACTTTTCCAAACTATTACTGGTCAAGAGTACCTTTCCTATAAATACTTGATATAGCCACTGAACCCAAATTGTCTTCAAGTAACATTTATTTGAAGGCCAGGTATTGAAAACACTGAATTCATTGTTTAGGGAACATGTTTTCCTAGAATATAAATTATATATTATGACTTTTGGTCATTGGTTTGTTTACACCAGTGAGCACAGTATTTTTAGAAGATGCTCATTTTTCTAGGCTTATTCTAAACTGTTTGCACACTAATAACATTAAATTATATAGATTTTTTATCAGTGAGAGAAAGACTTTTAAGTGCTCTTGCTAATTAAAAAATAGTACATTTAGAGAGAACCTTCCAAAGCACCTCATTAATCTCAGCTTCTATCACAAATAATGAACTTATAAAGTGAAAGAGTTAAGATTTTTATGATGGGCACTGACAGGGAGAAATAGTTATCCATTAGTTAACAAAGAACGTATTGCTAACAGTACTGATATTATCAATAAAACATGAGTGATAATCATTGACTACCTATATCATATGATGATTTGTATTTGTTGCCTGTACTGTAAAACATAGCCACAAGGTACAAAACAAGAGAATAAGAACTGGGTAATTACTACCTTATTGAGTCGCTTTATTGTGCTCTTTGGCTTTTGATTTTTATCTGTAAAATGGAAGTAAAATAAGGTAGGAACCATTTTGGAAAGAGTAAATACTTTTGCTTACAACCTAACTTTTGCATGTGGTAATAAAATGATGATGATGATGACAATGATGATGATGATAACAATGAAAATTTTACTAAATATTTACTTCGTACTAGGCACACAACTGCTTTCCATGCATCTTAGTTTAATCCATAACCCCATTTGGGGTAGTGAGATGCCCACATGTGTCATAAATAAGTATTAGACAAAAAGGATTTTTGGTTTCTGATTTTTAAAATTCTGTTTCTATTATCTCAACCTGATAATCTCTTACCATCTCTCCCTTAAACAAAGGTTTTGCTGTATAAAATGGATTCATCGTCTCCTGGAAATCCCGGGAGGACTGTGTTTGCTTACCTGCCCCATCCATCTGTCTTCTACACCATTCATGTGCTGAATATAATTCAAAAATTAAGATCCCATTTTTAAAAAAAAGTTGCTTAAAGGAAGCACTTGGGAACAGAAAAAAGGGAATTCTAAACACACCTGTTACCCCATAAAGAATTATGTACTGCATCTTTAGCTGTTGTCTGCAAGGACCCCACTTTAACCCGCGTGTTAGAGGATCCTGAGGAAGCCTGGGAAGGCGAGTAGTCTGAGTAAGTGCCTGAGGAAACACTGTTATTCAGACAGTGAGTTTTGTCAACTTCAGACTCATCAGTTGATTCTGAAATGTAAAGGGGAAAATGTTATAATGCTATGAACATTGACAATAATGAACACAGAATAGCAAGTATGAGAAACAGATAGTATAACAATGTTAGGAATATATATTTGTAAAATATTTCTATAGACTATGATGAATCATAAGTTACGACTGGAGATTAATCATGCACATGCATTTGTGGCATATTTTCCACATCAGGTTCGCAATGTTACCTTTTTTGTCCTTCCCTAGCAGAACAAGTTTGGGTGGGTACAGAGGGGTCTCAGCTAATGAAGGGTGAAGTTCCCCAATCCTCATTTCATTAGCTGGATGAACAAAAGAATCCTGAGAGATATAATAATATAGGACAAGGAAAGTAAACATTTAAACATTGGTTAACCAAGATGGCAATATCTTTATTTGGCTCAGATTTAAAGATGGGGCTCTAGACTATAGGTCACTGTGGAGCACTAGGAGAAGTGAATCACATGTTTCTCTGAGGTAAGTACTAAAATGTTTTGTTTTTCTAATTTAAATGAGTCCATTTGTTCCTCAGACATATTTTGAATGCCTTTTTATATGCCTGGCACTGTGCAAAGAACTGTAGAGTTTCCAAAGAAAGACAAAATGTCACCCCTGTCCCTCGGAGACTTACCATCTAGCTGGGGAGATGAGATACATCTTTATAACACAGGACCGAATTATGATAAGCTGTATGTGAGTATATGATACATACATGCATATATATGTTATACATATAAATTTAAGAATCTAAGGGGGGGAGCTCCATTAAGAGTTCTAAGAGGAAAGTCCATCACTGACAAACTAAATTTCTTTTCATCCTCAGCTGTCCTCATGCACAATTGGGTCCTTTAAATCCTGCTTTTATTGCCAGTCTCCTCTTAACTTCTGTTTCCCAAGTGATTTTATCCTCAATTTCTTTAGTTCTATGATGACTTCTTCCTAAGGTTTCTAGTTTTCTCATTATTAATCTAGCTTGCTAAATCTTCATTCTAAGTCCATTCATTGAGTGTAATGAGCAACACAGGTACAAGAATATAACTTTATAAAGACAAATGAACATGTTAAAAAAGTCCATGAATTTTAAACTTCTATAATTAAAATTATTATTTCCAGTTAACCAGATAGTGAGAGAGCACTGGGGGAGGTAAAATACCAAATTCTCACTTTCTTATGCATATAAAAATGTCTTGTCTATGCCCATGGGTAGGTAGTGATATAAATTTATGCATGGCAATTATCTTTATGTCTTTTTTTTCTTAACCTTAGGTTAATTCGAATTAAAAAAACTAACTTTCAGTATTTTCTAGTTTTCTTATTAATTAGTACTTGTTAGTTTAAAACATTAATGCAACATATTTTGAAATATTTTATTAAATCAATGAAAGAATATACTTGAGCACAAAAATATAGTAATGAAATGTGTCCTAATTTCTAACTAATTAATTACAAACAGAAAATCTTATTATATATTTTAATGTCCCACATAGTGAGTGACAGGCTCACATCTTTGGATATTACAAATAGCCATTTCTTTAATTCCTGGCTTAAGTTCATTTTTTTTGGTTTGGTTTTGGTTAGGTTTGTATAAGAATATTTGCCTGTGCAAAGCCTGGTTATATATATCTGATACTTGTTAATTATTTTAAAAAAATATTTCTAGTCGAACCTTTCATTTCCTACAAGTGAATTTTGAGACTCAGCAAGGTCCATGCTTATAGAGATAATTAGACCAGATCCAGCATAGAGGCAGAATTCTCAGGTTCCTGTCCAATAACCTTCCCTTATATTGAGCTGTCTTCTAGTGGGCTCAACTGTGAGCACATTACAGACATTTAAAATCCCATTCCAGATTTGAAGAGAGGTAGGAAAGACAGCGGGATTGATGGAAATTCTGGAGATGAAGAGGGAAATCTGTTTTCATGGATTTTGAAAAGTATTTCAAGATATTATGATAAAGTTTTAAGGTGACAGAAGAGAGGGTAAAAGCCTTTACACATCTTTGTAGAAATTTCTAAGTAGAAGCAGACACAAGTTTGAGAAAAGTCATAAAATATGTTAAGGTTTATAAAAAAATATTCAATTACAAGGTGGCATATTTCTATTCCATTCCTGTTTTATCATTTATTAATCAGGTTATCTTGGGCAAGTCAGTGTACCTCTTTGTACCTTATTCAATTAGTCCGTAAAATGAAGGTAATAGATGAAGGTAATAGATGGAATTAGTGCTATTTTCTGTCTAGTATTAACATTCTATGAATCTAAATGTAACTTATTTGTTGAAATAATACTTTAAAAAGGAAATATTTTTATGATACCTGATACTGAAGTACAAGAATTTTGTTTTAGTCAACAAAAGAACTAAAAGAGCTGTACAAGCATAGAAATGTAAATTAAAGATTTCATTACTTTGTTTTCCTCATGATTTATACATTCAGTATGCAAGTTAACTTGCATGTATGGATCGAATTTTCAAATTTGTTTCCCAAGACTGTGGCTGGAGCTTGTCATGGTAGCTGTGGTATGACTCGGATCCAAGTCTCTTGTTCTGCTCAAAAATTTCTACTTTGAATCAAAAAGAGCTCTAGTGACTAGGAAGAGACTATGATATCAGCTAATCATGAGTTTGCACCTTTTCTCCAGAGTTCTGTGGCCCTCCACGTAGGAGGAGTAACACTACTGAAGCAAGAACAGTGGATTCCCACTTACCCAGTTAGACACTTATCTTCATGAACAAAATGATAATAATGATGATGATGATGTTGAAGATGATGATGCCGTTAGTTATGGAGAATCTATAACATATCTGCTACTGCACTACTATGCTCAACTCTTAATCTGTATCATCTCTGTTAATTACTTAATTGCTAACCTAGTTCTTTACTTTTATTTATCATTTTTAAGTTATTCATTATCATCATCTTTGTTTTACAGTTAAGGAATTGAAGGCTCAGAGAGGTAAAGTCATAATTCCAAGTCCCAAACTCAGTGAGCGGTAGAGCCAATATTTTAACTGAGATTTGTTCTACTGGAAGGCCTTCTGTGTGATACTATGTATGCTATATTGTCTACCCTAAGAAAAGCTCACCTCTCCTAATTGGACTTCACAGAACAGACAAGTTAACTGTCCAAAGAAGGAAATTAATTGTTGATTTCATCTCTATAAATTCTTTTATAGAGGCTGGAGGAATTAAGTTCATATTGGAAAAGTGGGTTGAAGCTTTTGGGGTTACTTCTATGGTGAAGGCAGTGGAAGTTATTGGTCATGAGTCAAATATAATGAGGGTCCCATTTTAAGCACATTGAACCATATTTGCTTCTGGTAAGAAGACAGAAGAGAGGGGGAAAGAAAAGGTATGATCTCTTTTTTCTTTAACCCATTGACCTTGTGTGGTTCAAACTAAATCTCAGCTGTCACTCCTGTAGGGAAAGGGAGCCTAAGGTAGAAGTGAGAGGGGGAACAAAACTTGTGACTGAGCTTTCAAGAGTCCGGGTCTGGTATTAATAAAAGCATTTAAGGACATTTACCCAATTTAAGGTAATTGACTACTCTCTATTACCAGGAAATAGATGTGTTTCCTCTATAGAAAGAAATTGGGCAGAGTCTCCTAACAAAGGAAAAAGTCCAGAACCTTTATGAACATGGTGGACACAGTAAATAGGTATCCGGTGAGAAATTTTCTGTAATGCAGAGTAATGGCTCATAAAAGGACTAAAGGCAGATGGGCAGGATTAGCACATCATCCTCTTGTGGAAGGGAAGGGAATTATAGCTTTCCTCTTTGCCAAGAACTGTGCTTGCAGCTATGTAAAAATACTTGTTTTCATCTCTACAAAACTCTAAATGTTATTGTCACCTGCATTTCTAAAGATACACAAAGCAAAGCTCAGACAGTTTTCAATGACTTGTCAAGGTCACAATATTGGTTAAAATGTAGATTCAGGATTTGAATTAATGTCTGCTAGACTTGAAAGCACTTCCTCTTGTTCCCAAACTGTGCTCCAAGGTACCTGTGATGCTGTTATTAATTCACAGGGGTACATGAGTTATTTTAAAAATTTGAGGGAAACAAAGCAATACTTGAAATCAGTCAGATACTGTATGAATTGGTGGCTCTCAGTTTCAGTATTAGATTGCACTTTCCTTTTGATGACAGTCTTTGTGAAGTTGGGTTTTTGTGTTGCTGTGATCAAAAATCAAGTGCTATTTGAAAATCAATGTGAAACAGAATTGTAGTACCTGATATGATTCAAGGTTTGAGAAGATAAGTGGTGTCCCACAGGTGCACAAATTTCATTAATCAGTTTTGTTATTTAAACATGAAATAAAACTATTATTTTCCCTTTAAATTTATGTGCACTATTTTTCAAATGACCACTGAACAGGGCATAAATATGTATGAAGTTGCTCAGACCTAATACTTAATGAATGTAACTGTTTGGTACTTTTTTGGTCCATGGTCCTTGCAACAAAATTACTCAGGCACTAAGTATTTGTATACCAAGATTTTTAGAACCCCTAGCCTTTACATATTTTAAGTTATAACTTTATTTACCATTCCATTCTCCTTCCCTCCTTCCTTCCTCTTTCCTTGCTTTCCTCACTCTCCTAATATTCTTCATCATGATATTTTGCCTTTACTCATAATATTGTATTAATATATTAATATGGTAAATTGTTGTTTTTAAAATACATGCTATTCAACATATAGGTGATAAAATATAACCAGGTATGGCAGCCAACACTCAATAATGATTAATTTGACAAAAACTTAAGAGAAATTGTTCTTCCCTCAATTAACTTCTAATTTGACAAAGAGACAGACACGTTATCAGTATTACAACACTAGACTCTATCAGTTGTTCATGTACTCAACAAATATTTATTGTGTCTGACTCTGTACTAGGCACTGTGCTAGACACCAGAAAGACAATGATAGACAAGACAGACCTGGTTCCTGCCCTCATGATACTCAGTCTGAAGTTAATAAACAACATAATCATAAATGTTTTCATTATCTTTAACACGAATTAACAGGATGATGTGATAGAGGAAATCAGAGGTTCTACTGACCATGGTGCTCAGGGAAGGCCTTCCTGTTGAGGTCATCTTTAAACTCAAATTTGGAAAGATGCAGAAGTGCTAGTCCTATAAAGACCTGGGTGCTAAAGACTGAATGCTTGTGTCCCCTCAAAATTCATAAGTTGAAACCTATATGATGATATTTAGAGGTGAGACATTTGGGAGGTGATTAGGTCATGAGGATAGAACCCTCACAAATGAAATTAGTGCCATTGTAAGAGACCCTAGAAAGCTTCCTATCTCCTTTCAAAACTGTGTGAGGTCACAGAGAGAAGATGACCATCTATAAACCAGGAAGTAGGTCTTTACTAGATGCTGAATCTGTTAGGACTTTGATCTTGGACTTCTTAGCCTCCAGAACTATGATAAATAAATGTTTTTCTTTATAAACCATGTAGTCTATGGTATTCTGTTATAGCAACCTGAATGGACTAAGACACTGGGAAAAAGCAAATGTAAGCTTCATAAAACTTATATAAAGGAATATGGAGGTAGAAGACAACCTTCATACCTCCCTGTCCTGCTTATTCATACGCCCCCTCCCCACTGTTTTCTTCATCTAGCATAACATATACTAAAACTCTTGGCATAGGGTTGGCAAATAGAAAGACATCAAGAAATGTTGATTTAATTTTCCTTTTCCTTTTCTCTGCTGCATTTATAATCTATTTACCTTGTTTATTCTTATCATTTTCTGCTTCTGGTTCTACTTACCTTATTCTTTTTTCCTTGGTTTTCCATATTTAATCATATGGATAAATGTATCATGAAATATGTGATATTTTCTTCCACATTCTTGACAGTATGAACTAAATAATTACTTTAAAATGTCATACAAGTGCAAAACATACAATAAAATGCTTAATATACACTGATCAGCTGGACACTTGGCTATCTACACTTATTTTATCTGGAAGTTGAAAATATGGAGTGTGGCCCCTTTATCTGGGTGAGCAACTCAAAAAGGGAGGATGATAAAAAAGCAACAGCTTGACTTTGTTCTAGGATGGGTAAAAGTTGGGGAAAGAAGATCTAGAATCTCAATTTTAGAAAAAGTATTGATATTACCAGTGAAATTTCTATTCAAGAGAAAAGGCCAGGAGAAGAAGAAAACTAAGAAAAGTTGGAGTAAATCACTGAAATAATTATAAAGCTTAAGACTGAGTTTCAATTAGATAGGACACAAGTGTTTTTAAGAAGGGAAAATTAGATTTGGGCCTTAAAAAGATCATTATTAGGAGCACCTGCGTGGCTTAGTCAGTTAAATGTTAACTGAACTGGACTGAATTAAAAATTTGTATTCTCTGGGGTGCCTGGGTAGCTCAATCAGTTAAGCATCTGCCTTTGGCTCAGGTCATGATCTCAGGGTCCAGAAATTGAGTCCCTCATTGGGCTCTCTGCTCAGCAGGGAGTCTGCTTGTCCCTGTCTCTTTGTTCTTCCCCCTGCTTGTGCTCTCTCTCACTCTTAAATAAATAATATCTTAAAAAAAAACCCAGTTTATTGGGGAGCCTGGGTGGCTCAGTGGGTTAAGGCCTCTGCCTTCAGTTCAGGTCATGATCCCAGGGTCCTGGGATCGAGGCATTGGGCTTTCTGCTCAGCAGGGAGCCTGCTTCCCCCTTCTCTCTCTGCCTGCCTCTCTGCCTACTTGTGATCTCTGTCAAATAAATAAATAAAATCTTAAAAAAAAAAAACAGTTTATTGACAAAGTAATGAGGGGGCTTGGGACAACGTGAGCCAAGAAGTTGACAGTTTTTATAATAATGCAGAACAGAATTGAGGGCCTGAGGAGGTTGAGGAGATACACTTAGATGAAAATACATAGATTTAGGTGACTGGAGAGGCAGTGAGTAGAGAGAAAGAAGGAAAAAGAAATCAAGATACCTTCCAATTTCTAGCTTGAGTAAGCTAACAGATAATGGTGTTAGCAGAGATCAAGACTGGGCATATAGGAGCAGAAGCAAATTTGGGGAAGAAACATTAAATTTAATTTTGAATTTTTCTAGTTTTAAATGCTTTTGGAATAATTTTAAGATTTATTTTCTCTAGTAGGGTTATCACTAAATTTATGGCCCAAACCATCTTTTCCTTGCCTCACCTATCCTAACCCTGTATTAAGCAATTTTAGAATCTTCTTATTTAGAGTAAAATCACTCAGTTTATGGGTTGGCATGACCTCACAATTATTTTAATGTTAAACTGTGATTGCATGAGGTTTAAATATGAAGTGTAGTTGTATTTAGTGTGTACTCCTAAATGTCGGCTTTGTGCCTTTTTATATAATTGCAGTGTCTTAGAGATAAAAGAAAAGTCTGTTTCTCTTCTATCGCCTGTGATATTTTAAAAGGAAAAAGTACAATAATACAATAATATTGATTTCATTCATGTCATTTGCTTATTTTGCAAAAACCCCCCTAAAAGAAGGGAAACGAGTATTTACCTAAGTTTTCCTCCCTGGATACTAAGCTGTAATCTTCTTTTCTGGGGCAGGCTGATCCCTCCACTGGCAGGTATTCACACCATGCTTACTTTTGCTCAATGTTTTTTCCCTTTGTCTGGAATGACTTCCTCTCTTTCGACTTTAAAAGAAGCACCCCATTTTCAATATGCACTGCAACCTTAAACTGTTTCACACAACTTTTTAAATGAGTGGCAGTGATCAGGTCTCTCTCCAATTTCTTAAAGTACTATTGTATTCTCCATCCCACAACTAATCAGGCGATCATAGTTCAGATACTGTGTTCTCTAATCACTGCATCTGTGGTAATTTTACCTGGCAAGGCTCTAAATTAGTTGGGGACTGTGTGCACATTTTATATTTCTTTTCTCTCTCTCACAGTGTTTAGCACAGTGCTAAATATACAGTTGGTGTTTAATCAGTGCAACAAATTGACGCTGTGAAATGCAGATTTGTAAAAGAGTTTCACGAACTTAGATTTTTGAGAAGTAGGTATAGTAACTTCTAGATGTACTCATACCAGGTATGTCTCTAATGAAAATAAAAAGGTGATAACCAAATTAGCTGAAGAGTGGATGAGAGAGTACAGAGGTGGCATAAATGTAGTTGAATTCTTTTCAGACCACACAAATGTGTAAGGATGAACCTCTAGTTTATCCTAAAATATAGGAATTAAGTTTCACAAGGCTAGATCTAGAAAAGCTAAATTTCAAACTTATCTCCTCTTTGTCGTGTTTAGTGTTTCTTATAAAGGTTTTAATCTAAACACAGAAACAAACAAAAAATGGCTCTGAATCTGATCGAGAATTTTACTGAGATTTGCAGAGTAAAAAAAAAAAAATCTTCATTTAGTCTTTTCTAATGACTCATACAATAAAATTTGGGGTAGCCAAAATAGTATAGTGAAAATGATATAACACACTTACTGGCCAGGCCTAGGTGAGTGAGCAAGTTATTCCTTCTGTGTGTATTGGAACTTTTGGAGCTGTATTAATAATTTCAGACCATGAGGGTGTCATTTACCTGTAATTGATTAAATGCAACCCTCATAGTTTGAAAAAGTAGAGATACTCATTTGTATTTCAGGGGAAAAAATGCACTTATCAGAGAAGATCTAATCAGTTAAAAAAACCATATAATTTAGTAATTCCAAAAAATCCAAACCACACTGGCAATTACCAATAACCTTGAAATACCTCCACTGTTATCTCCTTTGGGGCTACAGGCCACTTGTGTTCATATTTTTCTTTCACAGTTTGCTCCGTGTTAGCAGTTGGATTTGAATTCTCAACACGCACTCCATGGCTTGGCTTACCCACCAGATTTTGTACAGATTTTACCATATTCTTTAAATCCTCTGGGTAAGGAGTTGGATATCGTTTTAGGTTTATTTCAACCTAGAAGTTTATAAAAAGAAATTTGACATAAAAATACCTTCGGCAAACATGTTCATAAAACTACTCCATTTTATGTGCAGTAGTAAAACCAAATGCAATATAGTGAGTGTTGAGCTGGCTGAGAAAATGTAGAGTAGAGCACATAGTGTTCTTTGCACATTTTGCCTTCATGGGGCTTCCCACCCTGCCACCTTCTAGATTAAAAACAATTTTTGGGTTATATTCTATCGTTAGACCTACCCTGCAGATGGTTGCAATAGCAGTAGGTCAAATACATAAGCAACTGGTAATCCAAAGATTTTCAGCGTTCTATTAGGTGTTTTTACACTTTAGAAGCTATTCCTTTCCTATCTTAATTATTTATTAGTAGTTATTTTCATGTTAAAGCTGTCTTTGGAATATCAACATAGATGATAAGAGGAGACCCCAAAAGATTTACAAGAAGAGTTTATCATGGATTAAAAAAAGGGGAGTTGACAGTATCTGCTACCAAATATTCATTAGCTCTATGTTAATTAGCATCTTATATCAAAAGGTCAGGCAGCTACGTCTTGTGAATACCTAAAAAGAATAGGCTTCAGGGTGACTTTTACATTTAGCTTTTACCCTAATAAAGTGACATGCTTTGTGGATAATGTCTTAAAATAAGAGGCAAGTTAAAAATTGAGATTTTCTATGATATTCTAGATAAACATGTAAATTTTGGTTTATATTACCCAGTTATTTATTTCCATTCTTGAATTCATTTTTGTTGTGTCAAGCTGACTTTAGGGAACATATATGTTAATGATTATTCTTCACATTTAATTCAGAGAGAGAAAATATGAGACATTTCCATATAGAAAATCCCATTATCAGAATATTTAAAATTTCCTTAAATTGGAATAAATACAAATTATCCATGATGAGTAAAAAGGAGTGGGAAGGAAAACAAGGAGCAGATTTATTTGTCCCGGCTTATTCCAACTGTCATGTCTTTTTGCATCTGAGTAGAACCAACTTTACAAAATGGAATGGTTTATGTGATTGTGGTGACTATGTTTCTGTGGAAAGTGTGTGTGGGGGTAGGTTGGGAGGAAGGGAGAAGAAAGCAAATCTGAAGAAGGAAGGAGTGGGAATGAGAGGAAAGGAGAAAGTGCGGGGAGGGGGGGCACACACATACCACCCACCCACACCCATGTAATTCATGGGATGTAAGAAACTATGGTGGTGGAATAGATCTGAGGATTATAAATATGAATTCAAACACTTTTGCTCATCTGCAGTTTTAACAAATCCACCAACTTTGTTACATTTATTCTTCCTTGTGGCTCATTTTCCATATCAAATACTGGGATTGGACTCCACTTGATGACTTCTAACATTCCTTTCAGTATTAAACCTACAAAATTCTTTTTCCAATAGCTTTTTGGAAAGTTGAGGAAAACCCAGATAATTTTACTAGTATAAGTACTGTTGTAGTCTTTTACACTCCCAAACAAGAATGAAATTAATAATATATAGAAATAAAGCTACCGTTTAAAAATATAACCCAAGAAAAAGAGTTCGCAGAAAAAAAGTGCAAGTTGTTAAAATGTAATATAAATATAGCTCAGGGTACTTAATTTATAATGCATTCTTAAATAAACATAAAAAGAATGATATCCATGCTAGACAAAGTCCATTGGGATGCATGCATTCTTGGATCTGCTGTTTAAGTTGGTATTAGAAATGTTAATCACAGATTAAGTCTAATTTTAAATTATATTGTTGAACTCATTTAAAAGTACTTGATAGCAAAGGCCTAAAAGTCAAAAAACTACACTTAAAAAAATATAGATTGTGGAGTGGTATGGCTATAATGCCAATTAAGAACATCTTTTAATTTTTAATGACCAATGGTATATGAATGAAAAATAATTTTCATGTAAGACAATAGATTAAAATTTTATGTACCTTAAAAAATCCTCGTTGCTAAAATTACACTTCTAAATTGAATAATGTAATTTATTTTTTGTAGCTGCTATGTCTCATCTGACACAGTGAGATGACTATTTACTAATGGTCACAGTGCCAATATTTTCTTGGTTATTTTATAAGCAAGTTAATATAATATTTTAGTCACATCATCAGAATATGTTTGGGTACTTTATCTCTGAAAAATATTTAAATTTAGAGACAGAAGCAGATTTGTCAGGCTAATGAAGCTTAAGCTTTAGAGCCTATCACCTGCGTATGCTCTTTCCATAGTCTTGTGAGGGGCCCTACTTTTTTATTTACATGATTATTTCATATTCTTTTCCTTAAAGAAGCCCTTCTCTGAACTGTGGGGGTTTCAGGTCTTATAAAACTTGGATTTGTTCCACCTAGACAACAAGCTCCTTGCTTCCCATTTACTAGTCTACCAACAGAACTTGCTGGACGTGGAGTCAGGAGACCTAAATCTAAGCCACAGATTTACCCCCTCAAGCTGTCAGCCACTAATTTTTCTGTCCAGTTTCTGTTTGTGTAAAATGGGAATGATATCTTTAGTTAATCTAGAACTAAAATGAGATAATAACTATGAAAATCTTTTGGAAATGTATAAATTCTATACCGAGATTAGATACTATTTTCTAAAGTCAGATTCTACTTAGGTATTTTTAAAATCTGAATTTTCTTGGCAGTTTAAATTTTACTATATATAACATATATATGTATATATAAACATATATACATATATATATATATATATATATATATATACACACACACACACACACACACATAAAACTCCATACTACCTGTAACAGTTTGGACTTTTTCCAGATTGCATATAGCAACAACTATCATTTATTCAGTATCTGCCATCTGCCAGGCACATGCAAAATGTTTTATAAAGATATTTAAATTATTAATAGTTATTTATATAATAAATAATTCTTATTTTATTGTTTATTGTTTACCATAGATTTGAATATAAATAAACTATAAATAATTATAATTATTAACATTCATTACATATTTATAATTAATTATAATTAAATATAGTTTAAATTTTATAACCCATTGTAGCATCTGTTCCTTTTCTCCTGGGAAAATATGGGCTCAGGCACTGAATAGGGCTCAGGCACTGTAAGTTCCTTGCCCAAAGTCATACAACTCAGATCTTTGACTCCAAAGCTATGTCGTTTTACTCGGCTCAAGGCTATTCTCTGATATAAGTAAAGCATATATTTGTACAATCTTGTAGAAAAGAGTGTGTGTAAGTCTAAAATATAATTTTTATTGAGTTAAATAAGATAATTTCAAATTTTTAAGCAGTTATTTTATAATTTCTTCTTAAAAGAAACTATAATATTTTATAATTGTTATGTTTATAAGCTCTGTAAAAGCATATTTTATACCCTTTTACAGATTGTTTTGCCTATGCCTTCCTACTTTTTAACTCTTATGCAATGCTTCAGAAATACAAAAACTTGATCATAATACAATATTATTAATACTTCAGTCATGCCCAAATAAAAATAATTTCTTTATATTTCTAAATACATAGGCTAGAAATATTCCCTCATTCTAATATGGGATGGAGAAATAATGTAAATTCATTTATGGTATAAATAGGTGGGAAAAAACTGTCAATTGTTCTCATGAAAATGTTGCATATATCACTCACCATAAAGTATTTGTTCATTTTACATATACATTTTATTAAAATGCAAGATTTTCACTGCAATGTTACTTCATTTTAATTTTAGAAAAATAGAAATGTTTCGCAACATTCTATATCTCAGATTAAAAAAAAAAAAGTGCAGTAAATGCAAATAGCAGCTGCAAGATGTTGGAGACTCTCCCAAAGATTAGCAATAGAAGAAAGAATTTGTGTTCATAGCTAGGGCATTTAGAGATGGTATCTTGAATTCTCAAAGAACTGTGGTTTTCTTATATAATGATGAAATTCTTATTTGGTTTGATTATAAATTCCAGTAAGAGAAGTAATAGTTAATGCTTTGATTACTGATCATTAGGGATCTTATTCTGGGAATTAATCAGAACATTTTACATAGAAAGGAAGCCTATAGGAGTTTTAGTTAGGATTCTCAGCTGGCCTTATATTGCAGAAATAATATAAGACACAGAGTAAGAATCTAGTCCATTGCATGTGGATGGTAAAGCTTACCAAAAATGTAGTGTCCTTTCACATCCCATGAAGACATTTTTTTTTTTTTCATTGAACTTTTAAATACCCAACCAACTGAGATAAGGAAGCCCTATTTGCCACAACTCCCAAACCAATCTTCTCTTACAGGAATTGTCATCATCTGTGCCTTCAAATTAGAGGGAAATTGATGCTTTTCAACAGATGTCCATCTTTGTGCTCAAAGTCCACTCTAAGCAAATCTCAATTCAAATCTCATGCTATTTTAAGAATCAGGTTTTAGTTACTTAATCTCCCTCTGAATTGATAATACAAAAATGTGTGTATGTGTGGGGGCAATTTAGATTTTATCAATAGTGTCATCAACATTCTGCCCAACTATTGGTATTCCCACACTTTAAAGAAAAAAAATCTTTAAAAATAACAACATAAATAAAAATGAAGCACCCAAATAAAAAATCATGCCATATCCCACCATTAGGCACCTCATTATTGATGTTCCCTCCCCTCTGACTTGGTCTTCCCACCCCATTGCCAATGTCAATGAACAAAAACTTAAATTGAGGTCAAACATTGGCAATTGGATGGTTCCTATAGGATCAACATTTCTTACCCCAAATCATGCAGAACATACCCCATAAAACCACTGTTCCAAGGTTGCCTCTACATGGGGGATTCTCCTACCCCAAACACCTAGGCCTACCTGTCTGCCACTTAGAGAGGGAAGAGTGGTGGATTGTGCTGCAACTGGCAATGGAGTACACATGCTCCTTTCCTGCTGGAGGCCACTTATACAACCCCATGCCAGCTGTGGGTCATTCTGGGGGACGGGCATATCTTGGATCTGCTGATCACACCTGGCCCATGGTGTGCAGCAATCGCCAGACAGTCTGGCAGGTTGGAGAGTAATCCCACGCTGGCCCCTTTCCCAGGGGGCTTGGCAGGGGTGATCCTGTGGGAGAAGGAATCTCCATTTTCTGGGAGAAAGAGGAGCACTGTAGCAATACTTTCACTTTATCATTTTTCTACTCTTGATTTTTTTTTTTTTCACTCTGGGTAATGCATTTAAAACAACCATCAAAAAATTAGTTCGAACTCTCTGTAATAAAACAGTACCAATATCATATGAAGCTAATGGGTGACAATTTTTTACACAATGCAGCATTCACACTACACTATACGCTTTATAAGTAGGGCATTATACTCTAGTCCGTTTGGAAGCTGATGGCATAGGTCAGTGGTTCCTTTCTTAATTTTATATAAATGAAAGGTAAAATGGTACTAAATTTAATGTATATGTAATGAACCAGAAAAGTGTGATTGATTTGGTGTAAGATTTCTGTATATTCCATTCATCATGCTTCCATGATGATTTATTTAGAAGTTTGTTTGTGTTCTAATTTGTCCAATAGCCAAAGGCATTGGAAATATTCAAATTAGTCAAAACCAAGTGTTTGAGGTTTTCGAAACAAATATTGTTTCACCAAAATATAAATAAATCAAATATAAATAAGCACAAAGAAAATTCAATCTAAAGTATAATGAGCCTACTCTGATTATAAACAAACCTGACCACATAACACACAAACAGGGCTTCTAAATAAACTGTTTGCATTTTATGTTTTCATTGACACATATACCAGAGTATATAAGTATATAAGAGTACTATTTTCTTGTTAGAGCCTTTGAATATGGATTTTTAGGAATAAGCATGTAGTTTTTGACATTCAGTGAGGTAAAAGAATGAATCAGAGGTCCAGTATAGAATGCATCATCCATTGGTTCTAGATTTAACGTATGAAATCTTAAAAGTGGAACTGAAATGTTGTAAGGTCTTTGTTTATTTTCAGTTTGGCAATGCTATTTCTAGAAATTCACAAATTAATAAAAAAAAATGTTTCTTTGGTTATTAGATAGCATTAACCAAGCATCCAGAAACATTTTTTTAAACCCAAATCATTAACAAAACTATCATTTTGATTTGGGAATCCATTTTGGATTTTCCACAATGATGTAGAGGTAAGCCTTGTCAATTACCTTACTGTTTAAATCTAGTAAGGTTCCAAGGTGTGTTGGTTTAAGAAAAAAGTTTAGAAAACGTGGGAATGAGGGGACAGAAAAAACACATTACACAATCTAGGTCTGTTAATAGGATGCACATACATTTACTTAGGCAATTAGTCACTCAGAATGAGAGCTGTTAGTATTCATGATAGAAAAGGTACACAAATATTGCTATAAAAGATTAGAGATTCAAGATGTTGCCATGATGACAATATGATGATCTGATGATAAAATCTCTTTAAATATCAAGTTTAAATAATGAAAAAATATGGATTTTAAAGTTCCACTTTGTTACTTGACTTAGATTACTTCCAATAAAGGATTTTTAAAAAGATGTTTGAGGTGAAAATTGAATATCACTTGCTATTAGGCACTTGTCTCCTTTAAAACTTGTTTTCTCATTAAGAAAACTCATAAATTCTTCTCAGATACCCCAGAGACCTAAAATCTTTTGGATATTTAAAGGCAATATAACATATTAATCCACTGGCTCTTCCATAAATGTATATTTTGGTCTCATATGGTCTGCCTGGTGCCTTGCTTAGTGATTAAAAGAAAACAATTTCAGTGTTTCAAAAATGTAATAAGGTTCGTAGGTAAAGCCTATCACCCAGATTCATTTGTTTTGGTTTTCTCTCACCTTGAATCTCTTTCATGTTGTCACTCTGTAAGATGGGGTGGTATATCAAATTTGCTCAGTCAGAATTGGGACATTCTGAAGGACACAATGCTTTTCAAATTACCATCATGCTCTAATGAAGGAGACACAAATATGTATCTGACCTTTAAGCAGAGGTCACTCAATTTGTCCCAAAGTCTATTTTAATAATAACAATGGACAAACAAAAATAATGAGAGGAAAGAAGAAACAAAATGAAAAGTTTCACCTTAACTTTCCCAGCATTTTCGTCATCTTCCTTTTTTTCTTCAAATTCAAAGGCAACAGTCATGCGTTGTTGTCTCTGCTCTTCCCACAGTGTAGGGTTAAAGCTGTCACTGTCTGACTGGAAATCTATAGTTAGATTCCAAAGTATTATTGCTTTTTTTTACATGAAGTGTTATTAATAGAGCTTAGTACACTATGCAAAAAATGGCAATAGGTACTACAAACAAGTACAAAAATTTTAAAAAAGGGGAAAATAAAGAGAAAGAAAGAAGGAAATAAAGGAAAAAAGAAGGAAAGAAAGAGAAGAGAGGGAATAAAATTCCCTTGATATTTGTTACATGTTTTCTTAAATCTTAATTCAAATTCAGTTTTCCTAAGTACATATAAATTATATACTGGGATTGGGAAGTTTTCTAGTGTGGAGAATGGGTTCTCCAAAGGATAATAATAATAATAATAAAAAGAGAGTTGGAATATACATTTTAAAAAACATTATTTTTTAATCTTCACACTAGCACACCAGTGGTAGTACTAATATATCCTCAGTTTGTTAACGAGAAAACTCTAAGTTTAAGAGATTTGCTCAAAGTTGTACAGCTTCTCTGGGTCAGTGCAGGATTCTGTTCCATGTCTGTGTGATTACAGAGCCTTTACCCATATTTGAAGCCACTAACCTCTATCAGGATTTTATAAAAGATACTACATAACATTGGCTTTTCAGTAAAATGTGTGTGATTGCAAGCTTTTCTTTTTGGTGTGTTGTGGGGATAATGGAGGGGAGCTTGTTTGTAGGGTAACATTAAAATTACAGTCTCAAAACGAGTCTAAATATGTCTCAACAAGGAAAATAAGTGGCTTATAAATCTTTAATTTATATCAAAATATAGGCTGATAGTAATATCTTCCTTACCAACATTAATTGTGAAGATCACATGAAAATGCAATACAAGTACTTCGTTTAGCCTAAATTCTTTCCCAAAAGATGAACTTTATCATGTATTTCCTTTTTTTGTTGCAAGAGATTCTGAAAATTCATTTATTATACTTCTGTCTGAAAAGCCAAAGGGTAACTTACTTAAAGTTCAAGAAATTTTTCTATTACCACTCTTCTTTTCTCAGAGGAAAACAGAACAGAACATAAATCAGGCTAATTCCTTAACATCATGCCTTGCCTGACTAGATCTACCTCACTCCCTGCAAAAAATGAGGAATTTAATCTACGAGACTGTATCTCAGAAATTACCAGGAAATCTGAGACTCTTTCCACTTTTCCCTACATTAAAAAAAAACAAAAACAAACTTTCGTAATCTAAGGATACTAATATGAAAATATAAGTAAAGTTACATGAATAAAAACAATCCTTACTTAAGGTTTTTCTTATAGCCTAAGTAGACATGGTGACTTCTCTTGTATAAATTTAAAAGCTCAGTTTTACTGAAGACTGAAAAAAATATGAAAACAATCTATCCCTTTCCTACTTTTGTAAGTCAAAATTTGAATAAAATATTCTAAAGTATCCCAAAATGATTCACTTATATTTACAAGTCAAAGACTAAAGATGTTTATCATAATTATCCCTGAAAATAGATCCATAAACAATGAATTCTGGACACTGAAAAGAAATAAATAAAATAAAATAAAATGAAAAAAAAAGTTGCTCTCATTCAAGTGGATTGGGTGGATTTAATCCATGGGTGTATTAAAGTGGGTCTACTCTTCTAAGAATTACCATTACTGTAAGACTGTAGAAAACATGTGTGGCTGCCTGTTCTGGCTTGGGCTAAGGAGCCTATTTGGAGTTGTAAATGGTAAAGGACAAACTTCCTTTAAAAATTTTGTGAAATTTGTCATCAGAAAGTATAGAAGATTAATTTAAAAAAAGGTTTAGATTTGCAATAAGTATTCCTATCAGAGCTACTGATATCACTTAGAGAAATTCAACTTGAAAGAGAAAGAATGGTCATTATTTTCAAGTCATCTTTTTATGGTTGACTGTTAACGTGAAATGATTTGGGGCCTGCGATCACTGGACAAAATGTTTAAATTGTGTTTGTGAAATTGGTGAACACAGAAAATAAAACGGTTTGTTGAACCTTCCTTAAGGTCTGACTCTTAGCTCATTTCAGTTAGCTGGATACTCTAATGACCTAGTCTTGCAACCCACCAAGGGAAGTTGTTCCTAGAAATCAACATTTTCATGTACGATATGAAGAGGGAGAGTTACATTTTTGGAATCTTATTTAAAATAATATAGTTGATGTTGATTTTGTATTGTGCAACTTTAGTGAATTCTTTATCATTTCTAGTAGTTTTTGGTGGAGTATTTCAAGTTTTCTATATAGGTATCGTGTCATCTACAAATAGTGAAAGTTTCACTTCTTCCTCCCCAATTATGGAAGATAAGATTCATGCTTAGGGTTAACCCCTGGATGATTTATATGTGCGATGTAATTATTTTTATAGCCTTGCCCATGGGCCAGGATTCCTGGCCAGAGATCAGAATAAAATTAATTCCTTTAATCCATAATTGTGAAAGCATAAAAAAATTTTTCCTGACAATTTACCTTCATCACCACGAGGTTGCTGGGGAAACATGTAGTTAGTCAATACTCTTTGCTTTGTTTCTGGATGGGCTTCAGTTTGTAAAGGGATAAGGGCTTTGGACTAGAAGCAAAGAACACATAAATTAGATTAAAAAAATAGCAAATATGAAGAATACTACTTTTATAGAAGATAATGGTCAATGGTCTGGCCTCAGTGAGCTGAATGAACAATTAAAAGAAAGGCAAGGAAAAAAGTAATGAAATAAGAAAGGATTTCATAAAATAAGACTATTGCTGAGGAATAATCTCAAATTTTAAGGTCTTCATATTGAGAGTTTCTTTTTCTCTGGTATACTCTTTTACAAAACCTATTCATCTTCACTGGTAATGTCACTTTTAATCTTAAAGAGACCCAGATATATTACATTGGTTCAACTAAGTAAGCTTTTGGTGTGGTTCTATATGCTCGTTCATTTTTACAAGCTGTTGCCCTAAAAAGATAAAAGGAAATTGCTATCAAATTGATCCTATTGCAAAATCATCTATGAGTTTAATTAGGTTAAAACATAAGCATTTTTTAAGAGAGATTTTTGTAACCAAAGACAGAGTCTGAGTAAAAATAAACACCTGTAGTTTTGTATCTGCTATATCAACAATATATTTTTTATGGATAGTAAGATTCCATTCTTTATTATTAATTTGATTTTAGAAATACTATTATTATACACTATACATATTAATATACTACATATATAAATATACTGGAAATGGGGATATCTAATGTTCAAAAAATCCACTTATTTCATGACATTTATCAATAAGAGTGAAGCACAAAGGGGATTTGGGATGCCAATTTGCCTCATGAAATGGAATCAGAAACACATTAAATCATTGTTCTAAATAAAAGTTAAATGATGCAGTCACTGTTCAGTTCATTCTCCCACAAGAATAATAAATCATGGGGCGCCTGGGTGGCTCAGTGGGTTAAAGCCTCTGCCTTCGGCTCAGGTCATGACCTCAGGGTCTTGGGATCGAGCCCCACATCCAGCTCTCGGCTCAGCAGGGAGCCTGCTTCCCCCTCTCTCTCTGCCTGCCTCTCTGCCTACTTGTGATCTCTATCTGTCAAATAAATAATTAAAATAAAAAAAAAAGAATAATAAATCATGATATTAGTGGATATTTTTTCACAATGCAGGACTCTAGCATTGACTGTTCTATTAGCATAGCTCACATTGAATCCAGAAATGATTTATTTATAATGATACATTAATGCCTTGAAAAATCTATAGTTCATTGATAAGATTTGAATTTGAATGACAATCTAATGTTTTTACTGAGCAGATGGAAGTGAGTGCTATAATAACTATAGGAACACAAACATTCTAGCACTTACATTTTGTAGAGATTTATTTTATTTTTTCACAAAAAAAGCCCAACACCTAGAAGTCTGAACAATTCATTTACCAATAATGCTGCTTTTATCCTCAGGAAATAATGATAAGAAACTAAATTCATGATGATTTGTTTTTATTGGGCCATCGATATCTGGGGATAGCTGTTTCAAAATTTAGGATTATAAGAAAAAAGTAAAAAAGACCAATAAACTATGTCAAAATTTTCTATTACCAGTTTTTTTTCTGGTGGCAAATCAGATGTCTTCAACTGTTACTTGTTATTTTCCTTATTAAAATCATTCATTAACACTCAATTATGGATTCAATTATAATCTACTTTCCTGAGTATAAAAATAATATGAAATCAATTTTACAGAAAGTACTCATAATATTTGCAAAAACTATCTGAAAACTTCTTGTATAAAGTTTTAGAATTAAGTTGATTATAATTAAAAGTATAAAAAAAAGGAACATGCAGGATAATAATTCCCTCTGTGGGGACTGCGTTAATGATTTCTTATTCTTTACCTTCAGAGATATAATTAAAGAATGTCCCCTCAGGACACATATGTACTATCAAAAATAACAATGTATGAAAATGATCATTTTGTGTAATAGATCTCTCAGAATGAAATAGATGCTAAATCAAAGTATTTAAAGAGGGTGGAGATTATAGTACTGAATTTTCTGTAGCAATGAAATACATACTTCAATTGCTATCATTACAAAAATCTCTCTTCTAGAAGATAATCTATATTTTGTAGTAATTGTCAAGGGTATCTATTGGGAATAAGTTAGTAAGTCAAAGTTTCAATTATAATTTATCTTAATAGATAAAATAACTCAGGTAATAAAATTTTTTACCTGATTGTCAGAAAGCCACAAAGCTGCAAGCTCTTTCAGTTTGGTAAATGAGAATGGTAAATTCTTTAATCTGCAAAAACAAGAAAATTCTAATAGCATTGGTGAAGGTGGATATAGTTTATTTTTATGAAGAATTATTTTTAAAATAATGTAACTTATTCATTTCATTCTTCTGAACAATCTTTAAAAAGTGAAAATTTCCTGCTTACAACCTTTTAAATGGTTCCTATCATATCTAGGATAAAATCCAAAATTGTTGACATGCCTTGTCAAACCTTGTAAGATCTGACCCCTCAGGTCTCTTCAGAAACTTCTGTGACTTTTCCTGACTTAGTCTTCCTAGTGCCACTGATGGGCATTCTATCAGTCCACTATGAAGATTAGCCAAACTTCTGTCTGTCTGGAATACTCTTTCTCCCCAAGTTCACTAAACTAAATCACACATATCCTTTAGCTCTCAGCTTAAATGTAATTTTCTCAAAGAGGCTTTTCCTGACTCTTCATTTAAATTACTTTCCCCAATGTAGTCTCAAAGCACCTCATATTTTCTTTAATGGAACATACCATAGTTTGTAATTATAAATTTATTTTTGTGATTATCTTTTTTACTAGCTGATAGCCCCACAAAATTGTTGCCTCCATGATGGGAAGGGGTCATGCCTGTCACACTACTAAAGGTATCTACAGCTCCCAATGTTATCTTGACTCCCGAAATTGTGTCTTTTTGTTCTCTCACCCTTTGTGTATTGTGTAGTAAATATTCCAAGAGGAAATCTTAAAAAATGCATTTTGAGGTACCTGAAGTTTGGCATAAGCTTTGGTATTCAATTGAAATGATCTAGTTTTGGCTTCAGCCTTTGGAGGACCAAATTGGCAAATGCCTACTTACACATACTATCTGATATCCCTGAAAGTGTGCATGATGAATGAATTGTGATTACACAGGTTACCATAATAGCTACTCAGCAAAGTGCTAATACAACCAAAGCATGCTGATGGACTTATTGTTAATTTCCGCATGTTCACTTTTGAATATAGATACACACTTTGGAGAGAACTTGGAATAAAAATTTTCTTAAATCTTTAATATGTTGGAACTCTTTCAGCCAACTGATGAGTACATATATTTTGATAACAGAAATGAAAAATGTTATAATAATTAATAGGATTAGGGAAGTAACTTGATATGTAAAAGCTGCTAAACATTTTAAAATAATTTAATAAATATGAAAAGATATTGATAGCCAATACGAATATCAACAGTGTGTATTAGCCAGAAAACTTTGGGAAGAACATAATAACCTCTCTGATCTCATAAATATTTATAAGAATATAAAGAGTAACTAAACTAACATATCATAATTTTTTATAGAATAATTTGTTATATTAGTATTTGTAGCATGAAAGCAAATTACAAAAAAACCATTTATAGTTTTTAGTTATTTAATTTCATTTAAGCCAGGAATTATGAAGTAAGGTCTTACAGGAAGAATTTTCCACATTGTATGGAGATGAATTATAGGCAGAATATAAATTCCACCACATCAAAATTACATGAGGGGGACCTCTACAGAATCATATGCAATAACATGTAAGATAAATCATCATCAATTCAGTTATAAACATAGAGCATAAAGAAAAGAAAGAAACTATTAGAGAAGGATGAGTTATACTCATTTCTCCTTGCACTTCCAGTAACCTGCATTGAAAATAAGCCTCTGTTTAATATCACAAATGTGCAATAAATCGACCATAGGAATAATCTTGCAGTTGACAGTGCTAAGGCATAATTGTCCTTAAACTATACAAACTTTTAAAATCTATTCTATTCTAAGTATGAAATTGTGATAGTCAAGACATTTGGATAGCATTTCATATTTAATATTTTATTTAGGCAGTTCTTTCTCTAAGAGTAGTGTTCAATTTTGGCCTCAGTTTCGGCTAAATATTGATTTTTAACTCAAGGCTAAGATTCATGGATTAATTCATTAACTTAAAATATTAATTTGGCTCTACACTATGTTCCAATCACTGTACTAGGAAAAAATTTAGCTAATATAACTGGCCTGACAAAATATTTTAAGTTCCTGATATTGTGGGATTCTCAATGTCTTACTCATATCTTTTACCCTAGCATCTAGCAACATGTCTGTCCCATGGTAGTTACTGAAATATCTTTTATTTCTTGAATAAATAACTTCATTAGTAGCCCTTCTATTTTCTTACACCATACCCCAAAATGAACTCAAAATGGATCAGAGACTTAAATGTGAGGCCTGAAACCATAAACCTCCTAGAAGAAAACAGACAGTAATTTCCTTGACGTCAGCCGTAGAAACATTGTTCTAAATAGTTTCCTCAGGCAAGGGAAACAAAAACAAAATTAAACTATTGGGACTACACCAAAACAAAAAACTTTTGCACAGTGAAGGAAACCATCAACAAAACAAAAAAGCAACCTGCTGAATGGAAGAAAATATTTGCAAATGATATACCTGATAAAGGGGTTAATATCCAAAATATATAAAGAATTTATACAACTCAACACCAAAAAACCAAATAGGCCAATTAAAAAATGGGCAGAGAACCTGAATAGTCATTTTTTTTTTTTTTTACAAAGAAGGCATACAAAATGCCAACAGACATATGAAAAGCTGCTCAATATCATTCATCATCAGGGCTGCGCATCAAAGCTACAATGAGATATTACCTTATACCTGTCAGAATGGCTAGAATCAAAAAGGCAAGAAATAACCAGTGTTGGTAAGGATGTGAAGAAAAAGCAACCCTGCTGTACTGTTGGTGGGAATGCAAACTGGTGCAGCTGCTGTGGAAAGTGGTATGGGGTTTCCTTAAAAAATTAAAAATAGGAGTGCCTGGGTGGCTCAGGTCAGAAGCCTCTGCCTTCAGCTCAGGTCATGATCCCAGGATCCTGGGATCGAGCCCCGGGCATCGGGCTCTCTGCTCAGAGGGGAGCCTGCTTCCTCCTCTCTCTGTCTGCCTCTCTGCCTACTTGTGATCTCTGTCTGTCAAATAAATAAATAAAATCTTTAAAAAAAATTAAAAATAGATATGCCATATGATCCAGTAATTCTACTAGTGGGTATCTACTCAAAGAAAATTAAAACTCTAATTAAAAAAGATATATGTACCTCTAGGTTTATTGTAGCTTTATTTACAATACCAAGATATGAAAACAACTCAAGGGTCTATCCATAGATTAATGGATAAATATGATTATAATAAAGAAAATGTGTACATATGCTGGAATATTACTCAGCTACAAAAAAAAAATGAGCTCTTGATGTTTGCCAGGTCCCACAAGGATGGACCTAGAGGGTATAATGTTAAGTGAAATAAGTTAGACAAATAAAGATAAATACCATATCATTCCACACATGTGTGGAATTTTAGAAACAAAGGAAGCAAAGGAAAAAAGAAACATTAAAAAAAAAGACCTTTACATACAGAGACCAACCTTGTGGCTGCCAGAGGAGAGGCAGGTGAGGGGATGGGTGAAATACATAAAGGAGATTAAGAGTACACTTATAGTGATGAGCACCAAGTAGTGTATGGAATTATTGAATCAATATATTGTATACCTGATACTAATGTAACATTATATGTTAATTGTACTTGAGTAAAAGGAATAAAAAATAACTTCACTTGTAGTACTTCTAATTTTGGGTCATTTTAAATATTTGATAAGCCTATTTTCTATATCATCATGCAGATTATTAACAAATAAAAGTTGAGTGGACTAAGAATTTAAGAGACTTCTGTAACTCATCATGAAAACCTCCCTCCAGGTTAACAGTAATGGAGCTCAGTCCTGTTGGGTATTGTAATGGAATCTACTGAGAATCCATCTCTTCTTATGATTTCTCCATGACCATATTTCCTAATTTTATTCATAAGAATATCAGTTAGCACATTTTAAAAATGTTTTGCTGAAAGTCAGCAACATTCAATGCATTTCCCTCATTTTCCTGTCTGGTAATCCAGTCAAAACAGGAGATAACTGTTGGTTTGATATGACTTACTCTTGTTTTACCAAGCTATGAAGCTTCCTTGTCATCTTGATTTTAAAAATGAAAACCCAAACCTTTCAATAAAATGTTTTATTCCCTCACATGGGAATGTTATTGAATTACTAAGTGAATAGTCTTTGAAAATCACATTATTATTAATATTTGTCTTAAACAAACAAATGAGAACTCATACACTTATCTTGAAACTTATAGATTTGAATATTCTTAATGATTCCATAAAAATTATCTTTGACTGTTTTATTGCAGGCTCTCAGTTTCTTGTTCTATCATTTGTCTGACTGAAACTTACTGAAAACCGAGTTCATACATTCTATTCTGTAGAATCACTTTGTCTACTTAGCAGTTATCTTCAGTCAATATTAACTTTTTTTTTCCTTCCCTATTTGAGAACAATTGTGGAAACAAAGATGAATTCAGTTTTGCTCTTTCTTTTTGCCTCTCTACCACTATAACACCTTTGTCACAAGAAGGGCACCTATCTTTTGGGGTTTTTTTTTTGCCCTACTCTGAACATGACTAAATAACCATTTGGTTGACCTTAAAATTATGTACAAATTTTATGACTTTTTAGTATTACCTAATTGGCAATATTCTTACTGGCATTCTGGTGGTGCTGACAATATACTCATTCCCCCGTTAATTTACTGGAGACATAAATGTGTACATGAAAACACACACACACACACACACACACACACACACATATATGCGCATATATGCATTCATACCTACATACATTATTTTAATTAATATGATTTATAGCTTTTTATTACAACTTTTTCAGGTCTTCATAATATGCTTTCTGCATATAGGAGGGTTTTGGTATATAAATTTGGTGTATAGGTTTTATATAATTTAAACATACAACATAATATATGATCTGAATTTACTCAAAAAATAAAATTTAGAAATATCAGTTTGTAAATAATTTGGTTTCTGCCATTTTCTCAATAAAACATTGATTTGCATCCTTTGTACTTCATAAGACACAGAAAATGTTTCTAAAATCATTAATAATGAACAATGATTTGCTTTCAGTAAATAACTAATGTCATTTTGAAATGTTGCAGAAATACCTGTTGTCACTCAAATTTAAGACTCTTAGCTTCTGCATCTGTCCAATCTCTTCAGGAAGAAATTCCAGTTTATTGGAACGTAGAGACATAACTGTTACATTCTTACAGCTTCCAATCTGTGGGTAACAAAAGAAAGTAAATAAGGAAATACACAGTAAACTATTTTTGTATTAATTTTTAATATTAAAATAACTTAATTTACAGATTTCCTTATTACTTTTAAGACTCTCTTAATATGTCTACTGCTTTATATTTTATAATCACTCTTTAAAATATATGTATATATTATATATATTCCTTTAGATGTTAAGACAATATGTATCTCATCTTCTTTTGCATATTAGGAAGAATTTTCTTTATAATTTTATTGTTAGAATGCTCATTAGCTTCATTGTTTTCATTAATAACATTATTTTTACAGTACAACCAAGTGAATACAAATATATCTATGTTTCTAATAGATCACTCATTCACAAAAGATGAAATATTGTTGACATTTCCACGGCCAAGTTAGTTTTATTTTGTGTTACATACATTGTGTTACATACATTGTAATGTATGTCATGTCATGTTTATTTATAACATTGTAATGTATGTCATGTCATGTTTATTTATAACTTTTTGCTCTAAAATAATGACATATTGACTACTATTCCTTCTTTATGGAAGTGGTTAGTAGAAAATATTAAATTGAAAATATACTTTGCATTTTTTTCTTGATATTAATAAATAAAAATCCCATTTAGAAATAAAAACTAACAGAATCTTTTGGTGAATTCTAAAATAAAAATAATATTATCATGCCACATGATAGTTTAAAAAAGTTCTTTACATTAAAAGTCTTTCACTTCAGAAATGGAAATGTAATTATCTCAGAATGTCTTATTACTGTTCTCAAAAGTGAAACATTTAAATTAAATTATTTAAAATTGTATTCCTTAGCATTGATTAACTTACAATATTTTATTACTTTTCTTTGCTAGTAATGTTTAAGTCAAATGGGTTTTCTGGATCAAATATAAGAACTTAGCACTTATCATTTAAAAAAATAATTAACACATACATATGTAGATAATTCCTATACACATTGACAGCTCAACTCATGAATCTACATTGCACTTATTAAGTCTTAATCCCAAAACATATTCGTTAAAAGTTAATTAACAGAAACAAGTTTATTCCTCACTTCTCGGGGTAATTCTGGAAGGAAATTCTCATCGACTGCTAACGTTCGAAGACTATGAAGGTAGCCAATAGTAGAAGGTAAAGACTCCAGTTCATTACAGCTACAGTCAAATTCTTCCAACAAAGATAAACTGAAAAGTTAAATACATTAGTTAGATATATTAAAAGGTGAAATGGTGAAACAGCTTTTAAAAGACACATATCCAAGTTCACTGAACAAAAAAACCTTATTCATTTAGTGACAATAGTATCATATAAATTATTTTATCCTTTTAGCCAAGTGGTTCAATACCATTTAATGAGTGGTTCAATTTAGTAGAATAAATTTGGCTTATTTTTTCCATTTCTAAATTCCCCTGCCATTTAACTGAGCCACTGAAAATGATTCAAGGTTTTGTTTGTTTGTGTTAATACAACGGAAGTGTCAGTTATAGCCTAATGTTCATAATGTGTGTCCTTGGAATGGATGCATATAACTGGAATAGCAGAAGTTTGTAGAGAGCAGGTCCACAAAAGGGAGGATAAAGGGGGCAAAATATTAACAACAAATCATTGGTTAAATTTTAGGTATTTTACTAAGCATTTTAAAGATAAAAATAACTAATATTTATCTTATAACAACTCTATGACATAGTCGCTCTTTTAAAAAAATTATTTATTTATTTGAGAGAATGAGAGAGAGAACATGAGGGAAGTCAGCCGGAGAAGTAGACTCCCTGCCGAGCAGGAAGCTCGATGTGGGACTCCATCCTGGGACTTCAGGATCATGACCTGAGCCGAAGTCAGTTGCTTAACCAACTGAGCCACCCAGGCACTCAAGACAGTCACTATTTTTAAACCCATTTTTACAGATAAGGAAATTGAAGCCTACTGAGGCTAAATAACTTGCCCAAGGGCACACAAAGTAGGAAAGCTCGGACCCAAAATGCACACAGTGTGCCTCCACTGTATTTTCTTGCCTCTTAGCCAGTGCGTCTGTAGCAGAGGCTATGGATAGGGCTCATTTCAGCCAGCAGATATGTTTAGTTTGATTTACATAGAGGAGCAGATGGAGAGAACCTCAAGCAGACTCTCCACTGAGTGCAGAGCCCGATGCGGGGCACAATATTATGACCCCGAGATCATGACCTGAGCAGAAACCAAGGGTCAGATGCTTAACCATCTAAACCACCCAGGCATCCCTACATAATATTTTAAAAAGTGGTAAACTCTACATAATGACCCAGATGTTTGGTGCCTCTTGAAAGAGGGAAATCTGGTATTACCAGTCTGGTATTCTTCCATGACAAGCAACAGAAACAGAGTGATAGCTGCTGCCTTCACATCAACACAGTTCTTTAGCTGGTCACAATCCCTACTACTCCACATATGGCCAATTTTAACCCACATCTACAAACAGAAATTGTATAAATGCACATTCATGTTATCACCAGGAAACAAGACATTTCAATATCTGGTTTGAGATAGCTGGGAAAGAAAGACAGCCCGTCACTGAGGGAGCACTATCTGTAGTTAAGTTGTCATTTATATTGTTGTTAATATTATCACACTGTTATTACCATTCATATTATCGTTATTACTGTAACAGGAAGTGTGAGGATCTCGCTGTTGTAAAGGGAAGAATGAATTAGAGTTAGTAAGAGAGCTGTAGAATCAGCTTCCTTTTTTTACATCTTGGAAGTAGCTGGCTGGAATGCAATTTATTCCCATCATTTAATTAATGAGTAAACATAGAAATTAAGCATATGGGTTTTAAGTCAATCGGAACGGATTTGTGCCCCAGCTCAGTCACTTACTAAGTGTGTTATCTTGGGTATCAAACAATAAAACAATGACCACAGCTCAAAAACTGAAGCTGATTTTATTTACCTGCCAGGCAAAGGAACATACTGGGGAAGAAATTCACTGAGTAGTGCTCTGATGGGGAAAAGTCAGTGCCAAAAGGAGGGTAATCACAGTGGAATACGCCCATTAAAGATTAAACATTTGCATTATGGATTGGGTGAATGAGTTCACAAGTCTGTGTACAGTTAAGTAAATCAAGTCCCATGAACCACGGGTCAGGAAGGAATAATTTGGTAGGTCAAATCTGACCCTGACTAAGGTAACTCGTGGTTCCTGGTTTTTACCATCTTCAGCTGGTTAGAACTAGTTGCAGTGAAACATGGCATTCAGCTTTGAATAGTATCTCATAAGCAAATACTGCTTTAGTGAACAATTGTCCTTTTACATAGACAAGGCATGTAGCTTTTTCTCTGAGTCTTAGTTTCTTCACATTTGCAAAGATGATACTAATAATTCCTGCCTCATGTAGTTGCTCTGAGAATTTTATGAAATACTGTTTAAGAATTTAGTACAAGACCCGTCATAAAATACATGCTTAGGAAATATTTTCTCTTTGTATTAGTGAACCCTGATAAATTCATTTCTAAATACTTTGAGGCCCCCATACGCAGGGATGAGTATATTGCTGGATGCCAGGTATGTATGGCTCTGTGTGTGTGTGTGTGTGTGTGTGCGCGCACACACGGTGTGTTGGTGTGGGCAGAAACCAATGTATGTGCGAAACCCAGTAATAGTTTATTTCTTAGAAAAAAAGTCTAGCCCAGTGCTTCACATACATAATGCACCTAAAAAGAAAAATTTCAAATGCATGTTCAGAGGTAGAAGTCAAAGACTTAGTTCAAAAATGTAAGGAAGTTTTCTCATTTTTCCTTTCTTTTATAAAAACATTTTTAAAAATAAAAACATGTTTTGAGGTTAGTCTTGAGTCCCAGTTAAGCAGCCCTTACTTTGCATAGTTCTGATGTGAACACATTTCAGTCATCACGGTTTCATTAGATAACATTATTCCCCCATCACCAAAGCTCAAACTTCAGTATATTAACTGTGAGTAACTGCATAAAACATACACTTCGCTCTTAATTCTTGGGCCCACAAATCACTATGTAAATAACGGATACACATCATGTGATTCATCACATTCCCTCTTTCTAAGGCTGTCAGTGATTCGTCCCTAAACATCTGTCATTGGGTTCACACCACAAATAGTACATCATGTGGTTGTTTTGCCTTCTTGTCAATCAGTAGAGAGATACTATAGGTGCACTAATTTAATATTTATAGCACTATTACTGTTGGAAAATGCTCTTGGTCTCCCTAATTCTCTTGGTGATTTAAACGAAAATGTGAAAACTTAAATAACTTCATTAACCCTGCCAATGGACCAAGGAGTTATTTCAACTCTGAAGGCCTGTTAGCTTACACAGACTTTGGAATAGGCTATCAGTGCTACAGCTGGAGATCATATAATTTCTTTAGCTGAGTTGTGGAAAAAATATGACGTAAAGTGTACAAATAAAAATATGCAAGCATCATGGCAGGAAGTCCTGGCAAGTACTATGTATGCATTACAGCAGAAACTTTCACCACACCGTGCAGACAACATTGCAGGACCTACACAAACATAACTGGAGTTACAGAAGAGGCAGCTGACTGTGGGGATGCTGCCTGCCACTCTTCAAAGGACCGTACACATACTGCTGGAGGAACTTAACAGCAAGCTTGTTGACGTAAATAAGGAAAGTGGTTGTAATGAAAAGGACGAAGATGTCTTAGAGGAAGTGACGCTGGTAATAAACTTCACATTAAAGGAACTCTCAGGGATGTTTCATGACATGGAAAGCACAAAGGATAGAAGTCTGGATGCTTCTTTAAGCTTAAAAAGACAATTCACCAATGTACAGGAACGATGTTCACTCTGAGATATGATTTACATGATGAAAAGAAGGCAAGTACATTCAAAATAATCTTGATAACTTTTTTTTTACAAAAAGCCCACTTTAATTCTTGATGTTCATACTGTCTACAAAGACAGCGAACTAGACGAATATTAGTTTTACTATTTTTCCATTTCCTTATACACTTATAACCACCCCTAACAGTGTTTAATGTTTTAAAAAAGGTTTTAAAGACCTTCAGACAGAACTGTCATAGTTTTGCCTCTTTGATTTTTTTTTTTTAAAGACGATATCTATTTATTTATTTATTTATTTGACAGAGAGAGAGAGAGAGAGAGAGAAAGCACAAGCAGGGGGAGTGGAAGAGGGAAGGGGAGAGGGAGAGGGGGGATGCAGGCTCCCCGCTAAGCAGAGAGTTGACCCATGGGGGCTCTATGGCAGACGCTTAACTGACTGAGCCACCCAAGCGCCCCTCCCTCATTGCTTATTAAGACTGTTGCTTGGTTTTAGCTTGAATGGTTGTTTTCACAGTCCCTCACCTCTGTGCAAAGTGAGAATTTCCTGCATTGAAAAAGACAACGTTTTGACTGCACTATGGGCTGTCCTCAAGAATTTTACATCTGAAAGAACTGTACATCTTCGGGTTATAGAGAAAGCTATTAGATGCAAAATACACATTCTTTACTGATATCAGAAATTCAAAAGATTTAAACTCATAACATTCCAGCTGACTTTGTTAATGGCAATCTTGTTAGGAATCACTTAAAGTATTTTAATACGGGATCCTTGGCAAAAGCAGTTACATCACATTACTCAGATTATCACTGGCTTCCAAAAGATAGAGCAAAACAAGTGAAGTTAGTCACCACAGAAAGACAAGTACTGTATGATCTCACTTATATGTGGAACCTAAAACAAAACGAAACTGAGCTCATAGATACAGAGAACAGATTAGTGCTTGCCAGAAGTGGGGATAGGGAATGGGAGAAATGGGTGAAATGTGGTCAGAAGGTGCAGACTTCCATTTATAAAAAAAGTAAGTCATGTGGATATAACGTCCAGCATGGTGGCCATAGTTTGCAATACTGTATGTATTGCATATTTTAGAGTTGTTAAGAGAATGGGTCTTAGATATTCTCATCACAAGCAAAAAAATCAAACCTTTGTATGGTGATGAATGCTACCAGACTTATTGTAGTCATCATGTCACAATATACACAAATATTGAATGTATTTTTATTAAAATGCTGTATACCTGAAACTAATATGTTATGTCAGTGATATATTCATAAAAATACATTCATTTACTTTTTGCAAAAATAAGATAGGCCTAAAGGTCCTCCTTTTTTTTTTAAGAATTGTTCTCAGAAATCTATAATTGTACACATTAA